TTTTCACCTTAATCGAAGAAGAATTGTAAAACGTAGCGAATTTTCGCTTTGCTGGTGTCCATCTTTGACGAGCGTTCACGACGTACTGAGTCAATCAATCGAAAAACTGTCAAAGACAAACTTTTAGCGCGAATAAACACGTTTTCAGCGCCGTATAGTATGACATGATGCGACACGTAACACTGGTACTATGGACAATAACGCCATCTCTTAGATAAAAAACCGAACGAACTTTTTACTTTATCTAATATTTCGCAAAAGCAATGTCTGAAAAATTGAAAAAGCTTAAAAGGAGTTAAAGATATATCAAATTTTATGTGATTTTCGAATTCAGCATGCAAATTTTATCTAAGAATGGTTATTTTAGCAACAAAACATATTTTTGGCTAAAGAAAAATAATTAAGTTCCGCTGGAATCGACGAATAGCACACTGTGCGACAGTCGCAAAAAACTCCATTCAGCATTTGCGGCAAAATATATATGTTGTATTTTTTTTTTTTTTTTTTTTTTTTTGAAATCTCCAGTCATTTTGCAACTGTTTATTTAGAGTAATATCATCAATTAGAAGATGCCTGTAGAAAAAGATGCCTGTACAAAATCTCAGTAGATGATCTTTCTACAACACGAAAATGTCGAAGTTCACACAAAACAGCTATCGCTAATGGAATAATTTCTCGAAATTGAGCTCAAAAGTCTATAGATCTTCATGTAGAATATTACGAAAAAAAAAATTAAAATCATTTTGCGTAAAATTGTACTTTTGTTTTTGGCTCGTTCAAAACCAACAGTGTTCGTGTTCACAACATGTTTATGATTATTTTGTTTCTTTTGTTTTTTTTTTTTGTTTTTTTTGTATACTTATTGTATTTCTAATTAATGTATTTTAATTATTTTTCATTTTTCTTTTACTCTTCCATTCTCTTTTGTGCTTAATACCTTCTCAGACCAATTATCCGCAGCTGTGTTATTCACAATGGAAGTGAACAATTCAACGGTGTCGACACTTTCATTTTCATCATAACACAAAGTGTACAAATCGAAGACAAAACGTGAATCCTTTTTGTAGTGTCGCCGTTTTTGTGGCACTGGCAACGAGCTGAAGTCGTTATCAACATCTGTTTCCATAATTGAAGCGTGGGTAAACAGGATTTTTGCGGTAATAAAAAATTTTTTTTTTATAAATTTAAATTTGTTTTCTAACTATACTTTCCAACATTAATAGACGAACATTTGTTTTTGTTTTATTTATTTTTATTTTTTTTATTTGCTTTTTAGATAATTAAATATTCTTTTTTTTTCGTTTTTACACACATAAAACACTTGCACAAATATTAATTTATTTCAATTTTCTTGTAATATTATATTTTCTGATTTTATAAATATTATTTCAATGCTTTGATGACACACACACACACACACACACATACTCGTACAGTCGTTGTGTTATTATGATTCACGCGCGTCCGTTGTAGCCAAACTGTCTGTAGCTTTTAGCTTAACTCCACTGCAAGAGCATACGGAGCGCGGTTAAAAGCGTCGACCCACCAAACCGTTATTTTGAACCTAAAGTCAACACTGCGAGGTTGCCAAAACCCAACTAAGCACCACACATGCCCGGCCACATTACACCGACTTGATGGCTAGAGCGCAACTGTTGCAGCAGCAGCAGTGGCAGTTAGTTTAGCAGTAGCCGAGGCTGAAGCAGACGCAACACAACAATGGAAACAACAACAAGACATGTACTGTAGTATCAGTTATTGCGATCGTTCAAGCAATCATTTTTGCTTAATATACATATATATTATATTATATATTTTTTTGCTTATTTTTCGTATATGTATGTATGTATGTGTATGTTTTCATACAATTTGACTCGTTTGTTGGCAGTGAATCGTATCGAATGGTTTAGTTGTTTGTTTGACTGACTAACAGCCTGACTGGGTGGTTGACTATTTGAAGAGCTAAGCGCCAGTTCGCCACTGACTAGCAAAATATACTGGCTCAGTGACGTTGTATCAGCGAACAGCTTCACAAATGAAAGCAAGTCATGTGTTCAAAGCAACCAAAAAACTCAACAGGTAAATCGTTGGTAAAAATGAAAAACGTGTACTTGTATATACATATTCGTACATACATACAAACTTTGCTAGTGAAGGGTGTTTTTTTTCAGATGAATCTGGTTGTCATCAAGAAGAAATAAAATGCATAAATTGAATGTTATGGCCAAGAGTTTAGTGTTATTAGAGAATACAAAATATTTTCAGTCAATTGATCGCCGCGGCTGGATCGAATGAACTCCAGCCGAGAGGTCCGATTTTCTACCACCCTTTATAGCAACTGCGCGGGAAATATGCTCTTCGAAAGCGTCACTCATCTCGGGCTTAACTGCGTAAACGAGCGACTTCACATAACCTCACAAAAAATAGTCCAATGGTGCTAAATGACACGATCCTGGTGGTTAAGACGCAGGCCCATGAAGCGTGACAATGCGGTCACCAAGTGTCTCCCACAACAAATTGATTGTTTCGTTAACCGTGCGGCATGTGGAGCCGCCTTGTTAGAACCAAATGACGTTCATATCAACAACTTCCAATTCAGGCAAGAAAAGGTTATTAATCATGGCTCTGTAGCCTACTCCATTGACTACAACAGTGACTTTTTGAGAATGTGACGGTGTCTCAACAATGGCTAATCCCCAAGCCATTCCTCCAAATACAACAATTTTGTTTATACAACCAAACGTGAGCTTTATAGCTCAACAAAATATTCTTCGTTGTTTTATATCTGAAAAACCCGCCAATCAAGATCCTTTCGCAGAATCTTCCATCAAATTGGTTGGACTCATTTGGGTCTTCTTCGATACTCTGGTCCATAATAGCAATAGCGTCTTCGATGCATACTGCCGAAATTTATTACTCCCTTTCAGTAAAAATATTTGATTGAATTTTAATTCCACGACGAAATGTTCCAAAACGGTCTGTTTAACTACGTCTTTGATTTTCGGTAGTATCAGATTCAAGCCCAAAAAATTCATTAAACAATTTGACCGTTTCCAACTAAATCGACCAAGTGGCCGTGTTACCATAAATAGCACTATAGCGTTAATTGTTGTTATTGTATCGATTAGTTAAACCCTCTTAGAAGCAGGCAAAGTTAGTCAATGTTTCTTAAATCCTTTAATGCTCGGCCCTTCGTACCAGAGGAAAAGAGGTGGTTAGTGTTGCGCCGCGAGTCATCGCATGTAAGGCATACGTAGCTTATGTCTGGCTCAAGTCAAGTGGTTAGGTAGGAGTTAAGTCGACTAAAATATGCAGACCGGTATTACTCGCATGCCATATGGTAAATCGAGTACTACGTTTACTTTTAGTCATGGTTGGGTTTCAAATGCGCATTTCACGGGAAAATAATTAAAGAAGATATCAGCCACCGACTGTGAATTGCGTTTAGAGCATGTCGCTAACTGGTCCTGTGCAGTGGTTGCTGAATGAAAGAAAGAGCAGAAAGTCAAGTACTTCTTCCCAGATGTGTCTAAAGGGTTGTTCAATAACTTTCAACAGTTGAGAGCAAGGACGATTCCGATAGCAACCCAGCAGATACAACATGACCTGGATTAAAAGTGTGAATGTTTCTACATACCAAATGATGTACAGGCGATATCAAGTAGTTCTCTGTTATGGCCGTCAAGGTGGTTTTCTGAGAGGTTTGTAGCTTCTTCATTTGCGACTCGCCAGTCCACTACTTTCAAGTCGTTCGACTAGCGATTTAAGGAATTTCTTGCTATTCTGTATTCGGTGGTGAGGGTAATAAAGCAGTGCAGGCTGTTGGATGTAGTAAGTGAGTCACTTTAGGCTTAGAATTCTTTGATCCGGTGACTGAAATGTAGCTTGTTGAATTCTCTGCAGGAATCTTTTACTAGAGACGACCATAGTCCCAATCTACTTCAGCCCAAGCACTAATCGGCGCATGAGTCTCTCCCCTACCAAAAATCAAACACCCAATTTATGCACCTTGGCCGCAGTTATATTTCCGAAAGTCCCTGCTCTAAGTTTTATCTCGGAAGTTTTTTCACAATACGGTTATCAAACCCAGCACAAATGTTTACAACGCGAGGAGACATAATATAAAAATATATTTATATAGGCAACCATTTGCTTTGAGACGAAATCTCGCCCGCAGTCGCAGCTGCATCTTTATTGGGCAGAAGCTGCAGTAAGACTTTAGTGAGCTCTTATATACAGGATTGCACCACTCTCTCTCTTTTAGCCATTACTCACAAGCGTTGGTTGCCGCATATCTCTTATCTCACGTTTCACGACGTGAATAACTCTCATACAAGAATTTGAGTCATCGATGGACAACCAGATGATGCTCTGGACATATCTAACTGCATATGGGTGTTCTCCAATCATTTTCATCGAGCCTGGCGTCAAGATAAAGGCGCAATATTAACGGAAGCATACAAATATTTCGGTGGCAGACGATGGACGTTTCAAAAGGACTCGGTAACATTTCATCAAACTCTAGTGAACCAAGAATGGCTGAAAAACAACGTTCCGAGCTTCATAACGTCCACAAAAAATGACACTCGAATTCACCAGACGCTATTCTAATGGATTATTCTCTTTGGGCCATTTTGGAAAACATGGTCAGAACTAAGAGACACACCAGTCTCGAGGAGCTGAAGAGCGCGGTTGTCCGCCAGTGGACAAAAATATCTGCAAGTCACATTCAGGCAGCTTACGATTCGTTTTCGGACCATTTCAAGGCCACGGTCAAGGCAAAGGGTGTTCATACCGAGCAAAAGTAAATTGTTTCCGAATTTTTTTATTATTTTCACACATTTTTTACTTTGAATTCATTGAAGGTAATTTTCTAAATTGAATTTAAAGGCTTTTAATTTGGTTCGAGTACCGGATCCTGCATATGACGATAGAACTTGCTTTCTTTCATTACTCTCATTACCTCTGTTTTCCTATTTTTTTTCAAACTATGCACTCACCTTTTTCTCAATTTCCTTTGCCATTTTTAAGTGTTGCTGCAAGGTTTCCAAATCAAAATCTCCACCAATTTTATAAGCATCAAACAAATCTGTGAAAGAAAATAAAAATAAATTCCAGAAGCACCAGAGGAGTTGTGTAATTAAATTTAAGCTTTCCAAAACAATCAATTTATTTACCCAAAGCACTTGGTGATGCCAAATCGGTGCTCGAGTATTTGCCTCCTTGGGTTTTCACCGAATTCTTTAAATACTGCGCCCACGCTGACATTTTCGTATAACGACTATTACTCAAAATCAGCTCCTTGTTGTTGATCAGCTGTTGGTACTGATGCATTTCAGCTTCCTCCCGACGTCGGTTGGCATTGGTGTCAGCCACTTTATCGCCGCACCTCGAGCCACCGCCCATATTGCTACGCTTCGAACTGAACAAACGATTGGTGAAACCCGTTTTTATATGATTACGTCCAATCTTGCTGCCACCTGCTGCCTTAGTAGGCTTCTCAGATTTATCATAGCTCTGCCCTGACGATTTTCTTGAATTACGCGCACTTTGCTGTGTGCAACGTTTGTATTCAATGGCTACCGGTGGTAGTTGTCGCTCATCATACGATGCCTTTTGGTATTTGGGTTTTCGCATTTGTGCGCTCTCTGTATTGCTAACGGTGCTGACATCGGTAACATCATCCAATTTGTTATCGTGTTCGCTCTCTTTGGCGTTACAGAGATTCATCTCTTCCGAATCGCCACAATGTCCATATGACCAGTCGACGGCATTATTGTCCTCCATAAAGTCCATCGATGGTGATGGTATTCGTTCATCAAATTGCATCTGAGTTTTGGTCGAAATATCTTCCTTATTTTGCTGTAAAGCAGTTACATATTTGTCCGAATCAATACGATCTTGTGCGCTCGATAGCATAGCATCCGATACCTAAACGAGAGGCATAGGTTTATAGGGATTTGATTGGTGGCTGTTGCCAAAACGAAAAAGATTGCCAAGTCTACATAGTCACAGCAATTACAGTCAGCTAAACTACACCCTTCAGATGACCAGATAAATCTAAAAACGTATTATAGTGCTACAGTTAATCCGGGCAAGAGTCGACACTTATGTTGATGAGTTAGTCGCGAATTCCTACGAGCTCTGTGTGACTTAATAAAATCGACTCTTCGAACCGTATCGGACTGGTGTAAGCGATGTGGAGTCTTTGTTAACTTAAGTAAGACGAAACACGCTCAAAGAGATATAAAATGCTGGTAGCAAATAATTTGTTAACCTCAGCCAGGGTATTAAAACAAAATGTCTAGGCATAGTTCTGTATGTGGGACTGAACTAGAAAACTAAGATACATAATAAATGTATAGGAGATGTTAAGAAGTCCAAAGTTTTATCACTGGTTAGTTCAAGTGTCTTTCAATGGATGGCTGTATAGTGGCCTGCGCAAAAGAAAGCTACAAAGGTCCTTCAAAATAGTATTACCGAAAGACATATCTTTGGCCGGATAATATCCGAGTTAACACCGTTAAATAGAACCGGCTGTTGCGAGAGCTGTAGTACCGATTGTGTACCAGTTGAAATCGAGCTGCCTTGAGAGACCCGAGTAAAACTTGAAGAATGAATCTATATATTGTAGTCGACTTATATCCTACTTATACAGATTTCACCCCGACATACAAAAAGTTTGTCCTCTCTCCATGGTACCTAAAACCAACTCATCTAACTTTCCTTTCCCTGTGTCGCCTGAAACAGACCGTTTCCTGGACTTCCCGTAAGAAGACCTCTATGACTTAAACCAGTCTCGCCTATTCCTAAGCTGGGCTGGCGAGCCGCTACAACAGCAACAGGTCTGTAAAGTAATCCTCAACATCGGTCAACTCGATATTCGGTCAGATACACTTTTGAAAACTAAAAATCTAATTTGAAACCTATGTGAAAGTTCATCTCTTGCTTTGGACACATTTAATCAATCACAATTAATCATATTATTCGTGGCAATTATATGACACAATACTCAGGAGGGAAGAATGGTCTATGAACATTGATGCTCTGGGTGACAGTACCTCCCTGTGGGTTAGGGGCTTAAGAATTCACCCGTGGTAAGGTATACCTTCGGAGGAGGCAACTAAAATGTAATAGTTCCCGTGACAGTCGGGTCTTTATACGGGAAAGGCACTAATTTTTATCCGGCCAAGGACTGTCACTTGTCGAGGAATATTTTTCGGTTACAACAACATCAGCATACGGATAAAGGTTCCAAAGAGTTGTTGGTGGTGCGTCTATAGAAACCCTTGTTTTCAGGTACTTTTTCAAGCCATAATTTCCGCGTTATAGAGTCCAATGTTTACACTAGAGCCTGGCAAGGATATCTTTATTTTCAACAACCCTTCAGACGCTCGATTCGCTTACAACAAATTCAAAATTTGTTTTGGATTCTTGCACAGATGACCAAGAAACATAGTTTATGGGCGCAGGCACAGGTACATGTCTTTTGCCACATTCTATCTGTCACTTTAAGTATTTGTTTATAAGGAATCTGCATTAAGATGAACTCGCACCAAGTCTTGCAGTAAACCTGGGTAAACTGAGTCGAATTGAAAGCGGAAGAGATCACGCTAAATATGCTTCCCTAAAATAGAGAACTTCCTAAACGTACTAAGATAGTGGGAGTCTCGACAAGCCATTGTTTAATAGAAAGACACACAGTAAGGTTGGAAGTTCCTTTTATGAGATGATATGAGATGTATCATCTTCTAAGAGGCTGTGATATATTAGACACAACTGTATGGATGCCCCTAAATCATTAGCCACTTCCATATACCCACCAAGTATGTATGTATGTATGTAATGTATGCATGATCGGACAATTTCAAATGATGGCAATACTAAAATCTTTATGTATCTACTGAAAAATACGAGTCACTAGTGCCCTATTTCATTTTTCTGCCTTATCTCACCTCTATTCCTACCAATGGAGGCCAGGGATCATTTGACTTAAGTGTAGTTGTTTAGAGACGGAGCTGCCTGCACCTCCATGTTCAAAGAAAGAACCGACCAGACATAATGAGTTGATAATAGTGATACCCTTGGCACTAAATGAATCCGAGCAGGAAGACAGTACTCAGCATTCAGACCAAACAACCTCAAACCGTTGTGCAATAATAGAAAAAAAGCCATGGACAAAGTACTAGCTAACTGACACTTTAAAAATAATTATAAAGTTGTTCCTTGGTAACCCCTGAAGCGATTTTCGGCAGCTCGTTGTAGGCGTTTTGATGTTTTCCGAAAAAACAATTGGAGGGACCTACAGATTATTCTAATCCGCCTCGAAAAAGAAGTCACTCGTATGGTTTGACATTCCCTCCCGAGGTACGAACGTGAACCCTGGACTTACTAAAGGTAGTACGTGAGCACATACAAATTATATTAATTACCTTTTCAATTGGTTGTGCTTCGCCAACCAATTTTTCATCTTCGTTTACCTCATCACTTGTTTCGACCAATCGCCTGTAACCGCTCACAAGTAGACCGAACTCTCTCTCCACTTCCTGCTCAAAATCCCCAATAATATCTACCGGTGTCATGCCGAAGCCCACACCATCCTCTCTGCCGATATCACTTGAGCGCAGCGGTGTGGCATTATAGCTACCATTCTCATTCGATACCATCCCTTTTTGGTCAGCAACTTTATCGCGCTTATTAACCGACTCTTCAATAATTTCGTTATTTTCTTCACATGACACTTCGGTGCGTTTTCTGAGTGGCTGTGGACTAACGCCACGCAACAAATCGGGTCTATTCTCCTTTTTCGAAACTTGCTCCACACGCAAATCAGAGTTCTTCAGTAAGATGTCTGGTGTGGTGCCGTACACTTGTTGCTGTCGCTCATCATAGATTTGTGCTACCAAACGACACTTTTGGTCACAACGAAATGCAAAATTATCTGCCGAGTTGATTATATAGGCATCGGTGTAATTGTCTGGCACATTCAAGGTGAGCAATTGCCGCAAATTCTCGTGCAATTCATTTGCAATCAGTGCACCCAGCTTGCTATGTTGGTCCTGTTGATGTTGTTGCTGCTGTTGTTGTTGTTGTTGCTGCTGCATGGTTTCATTGGTTAGGCTATTTATAGTGGAACTATTGCTGTTAGCATCCGTGTAGGCTGTCCCGTGGAGTTGTTGTTGTTGTTGTTGTTGTTGTTGTTGTTGTTGACTATCCACTGTTGATCTCTGGTAACTACCATTATTACTACCACTATTGTTATTGTAGATATTCATTTTCATATTCATCTCCACCCGCTGCTCCTCGCTTGGCAGCTCTTCACAACTATCGCCACTCAACTCCATTTCACACTCGGACATATCACTGTCATACGAATCGGATGGTGTACAGCCAATAAAGTGTTCGGAGAGTGTGTGCGCTAAGTGCTGAAAGCCAGGATAGTTGGGATTTATAATGCCACGAGGGAAATAGGAGCGTTGAGGTGTGCTCAAAGAGACGCTGGATGAAGTTGGTGATGTTAGGTACTCATCTAAAAAAAATTAACAACAAATATGTTAATTTGAAATTGTGTTAAAAATATATATATTAAAATGAGCTTTAAGCTTTTTTGAGTATATATTTATATAGAAGAGAAGGATGGGAGAAGATGCCTCTTCGGATTAAAGAATTGTAACTGCTGTTGGTCGTTTGGATATCATCAACGTTGAATAAGCGCGAGTGATAGATAGATAACAAGGTAGAGATGAAAGAGTGTGAACGGGATCTGGCGAGAAAATCATTCAGAGAGATAAAATAGAGGTGCCCGTAAATTTGACGATTAATAGAGCACTTCTTCACTCCGTCTTATTTTATAAATCTACCTTTAATGGTTACAGGACGGATCTTTTAGATTAAGTAGTGTTAGGGAGACCTTTTTCGGGGAAAGCTGTCAATAAGATAGACTCCTATCGGCCAAAACCTCCCCTTTTTCCAGTACCGAAGTTAATCGAGGTCTTGCTACGCCCGTCTTTCGCTTACCCCCTGAACCCAGAAGCACATCAGCATGAGTGCTTAACAGCACAATCCACCGCAAAGTCCATGACATCCACTAAAAACCCACATTAATCTCGTCTAGATCACTAGATCTGTCAAAAGTCTTTAGCACTAACTGACTTTGAGTAATCCTAATTTCCATCGGCATTGAAGAGATGGACCATGAACTACCTGAGTGGTCGACACTCATCGGTAGAGTTTCGAGATCTAACATCAAAACTAACAAAAATTAAACCTAACGGTGTCCTGCCCACGGTTTTTTTTTGATATTTAAATTTCGAAGCTCTCTATAAACCGCAGGGCGTTTTCACGTGAACTACAATTAAAATCAGCAAATTCCTTGACAGTTCTCTTCACGAGCTGAACGAAGGGTACCGGGCAAAACTGAATGAATGAGTGTCGGTTAGGTAAAAATTACGTCACGTAAGTTACTTGGTGTCACTTTTAACAGCATCTGGATGAATGGTAAAGAAATATATTGCTTGCACCATGAAGGACCATTGCTCAGCCGATTGTTAACAATGCTGTACCGATCTGGACGCTGGGGACTAGAAGGACGAAGATGAAGAAGCTACAAATCAGTCAGAACACCGGTACAAGGACCGTGACGGGAAATCTCCTGATGTCACATATGCTCGCCGTTACTGAACATAATTTTATGCTTTGTTAGTAATATCTACTGGGATGCTAAGGTAAAGACCAATTCGAAGCTAATCCACCACCTAGGCCATTCACAGAGAATCAGTCAGCATCCTCATAGACTTTCTTTCCGTGAACAGCGTTCTCGGAATCCAAAAATCACCTACAGCAACACAAGAGCTCGAGCTGCATCGCGAGGCCGGCATAACACTGCCACATCTAAGTCAATCAGACCTTAGTTGGTTGGTTGTAGTCGATTAAACTGCTACCTATAAAGACTTAAGCTCGACATACTCAACGTAAGCTCTGCGTGCTATGAGAGTCTATTTATATGCCCTCTAAAATCAACTCAACTAACACCAAGTCCACAAAGCAGTTCGTTTCTTGAATCTCCAAAAGGGGCCACGATGGCTAAGACAGCCATAAAAAGGGTTATCGAAGACGTCTAGGAACGAATACAAATTCTACGCCATGTATAATTCTACTGGTAGATATTGTGTAGCTCTAGAACAAGCAAGCTTTGTACTATTAGATAACCTCACCTAATTCATCGTTATGTTGTTCAACGGCTGATTTATGGCTCCGATCGTTACATAAATCCAACATAGATTGATCATTGTATTCGTTTTCGGCAACATTTGCATTCCTCGGATAATCAAGGCTTGACACGTTTACCTGCTTGTTGGCTTGTTCGGGATCATTTGAGTTTAGTTCGCCAACGGTACTGCTTAAATCTTTTTTCATCCCGTTATTTTGATCGTTCGTACGAATACTTTGTCTCACACCTCTCGGGGCTATACGATTATCAAAGTTATTGCACTTTGTCTCTGCCGAGTTCGAAACGAGCTTGTTTTCAAATTGTGCTGTGCGCTGAAGTAATAAAAATTGAAGTTATTACATATGTACATATGTATAACGGTACACATACATAGGGGTTAAACTTACATTGATTTTTTCGTAGTCATCCAAAGCGATCGCGGCACGATTTACATACACCTCTTGGAATCCCTTATAGGCACTATTGCTATTGCTACCAAAATTCTCTGCATAATTTAAGGTTTGTAAATTTCGTTGGTAATACTCATCATATCTACTACCGGGCAAAGTAGGATTCGTATATTCATATGGCACCGCCAGAGAGGAGCTCAGTGCGCGTTGAACGAACTCACCAGCCGAAGAGGTGTATATTGAGGAGTTAGTGTACTGAGCACTTGGCGGGATATCAAAAAATCCAGCTGTGGCATTTAATTCAGCTGATGGCCAGTTGTCATTCTTATTTAACTCCTTTCGATCCGATTGCGTTGAGTGTAATTTGGACTCTACTTCTGCAGAGCCGGTTGTTAATTGTTGTTGTTCGCTAAGTGGACTATTAAAGTTGCTAATGTTGTGCGTAAATTGTGCAGCATTTCCAGCTGTTAACGTGATGTCGGGAACTCGCATAACGCTCAAGATCTGGGAAGAAAACGATAGGCACATTAACATTTGTCCATCAAACGCATTTAAGGAAAATTATCTCGAAATTAAATTTCTGGACTTTTGCGTATATGTATGTGCTACTAAGGACGACAAGGTACTGTCAGAACCCTCTTCATGTTAGGGATTCAAGCAATTACCCGCAGTAAGGCATCTACAATCTAATAGCACCCGCTATAATTGGCTCCTTATACCGTAACGACCTATATTTCTATCCGGCCAAGAACGTACACTCCCGCAATATTGCCGAAAACCAATTCGGGGAATATTTCTGCAGTTACTACGACAACAACAGAGGCTGCCAGAGTTATGTGGCTGCATAACCAACTAAGGAAATACCTCCAATACAACTCTTGTAGTGACCTAACCTAATTCCCTGAGCATAAGCAGAAGTCTTAATTTTGTTGTTGAACTAAACGGTGTCGCCGATAGGACATTGCCAAAACTTCGGTCTGAATATTGCAGCACACTAAATACCTATCTTCAGTTGTTGTTGTCTTAATAGCGGTTTACCTCCCTATTTAAGAACAGGATATATAAGTCTGAGCCATCGTGGTAATCCACGAATTGAGCTGTTTCGGCAGGCTCGTACCAAGGGGCAAGGGAGTTAGGTGAGTTGGTTTTAGGGGGCATGCAAAGAGATGGTTAGTGTCGTGTGGGGAATCATTGCATGAAGGATATACGTAGGATCTATCGGGGTCGAGTATGTATATTTAGGCATGACTTGTGACAATAGTAGGCGAAGCGCTCGAGGCGGCTGTAATGGGTGGTGGTTTGATTCCGAGAACACCATTCACAGGGAGAGATTTCAAGAAAAGCTGATGACAGACTCTTGGTGAATGACATTTAATGTTTGCCTGTATGACATCGTTGTTGTTGAAACCACGAGAATATTCCCCAAAGTACCTTTTGGGGGAATGTTGCGGGAGTGACAATCCTTTGCCGGCTGAAAATTCGGTATAAAGTCCCGACTGTCGCGGGAAATATTGGATTTTAGTCGCCTCTTACGACAGGCATGCCTTAACCCGCAGAGGTTTGAAGGTGGTGCTGTATGCAGTCCCTTAAGTCGAATACTCCCTTTCAGATATGCCCGGCAGGTGGTTCGGCTTCTAATAATTGTCTGCTTGCACAGCACAGAGTACTAAGATCCTTAATTCGTAGCATAGATGGTTCATTGTGCAGGTGTTCTGACAAACCTATGTTCAATCTCCTATAACACTAAACATCTCTTTGCGCACTAAAACCCACTCCCACTCTTGTCTGTTCTCTTAGAGGACCTCGAAGATATCGGAATCGACTAAGTCGCTGAGAAAATCTAGCAGCTATTAGATGACTTTAGCTAGAAATATTAGTAATGGACCTTTACGTTGTATTTTTCAACCAGCTCCGCTTCTATTCCTACTTTTAAACTGGTTTACTTCCATCCCTGATGTTGAGAAACAAAATTTCCCCCGATTGTTAACTTACTGAAACTTTTCATGAATCTATGATTTTGTTATTACATCTTTAGTACAAAAACAAAATAGAGTTTCACATTTCGTTAACTATATGCGCCTATACTTGCAAGTATATATATATATATATATATATATAGATATATATATATTGAGTCATAATAAGCTCACAAATAAGACGGATTTTAAATTGTATAAATATATGCTTACATATGTACATATGTACATATCTGTATACTTATAACTCCAGAATATAGAGTCTAAGATGTACACATTCATAAATAAATATACCCTAAGTACTTACAAATGAGAACCGAATATAAAAGAAGGAACTTTATCGATTTTGCTTTGCTTATAGTTAATATCGCAATAAGTAATTTGAAACCTCAAGTTTTTATGTGGACATACATATGTAAGTAAATATATGTATGCACATGCATGTATATACATATGTGTTTAACTACAAAAAGGTTCGTGTATGCAAATCGATTTTATAATTCAACAATACTACACCCTACTACCCCTGAAAAAACTGAAAATCATTTTTCCAAACATAATTTCCACTCATTGAAGAAGACCTTAAGTGTAATATTCAAGATCAGAAATCAAATATACTTCAATTTAGTTTTACATTCATAAATACAAAATCAATAAAGTGAACTCTGCAGGATAAATCTTTATTCGGTGACAATCCTTGATACGCGTATGTATGTATATACATACTAAGTTTGGAATAACTTCATTTATACACACCCACTGTTTTTTATTGCAATCAACTTTTTCATATAAATCTGTGGCGCCTACACAGTAAACTTGTTTAAACAAATTTTAAGTTTAAATTACTCAAAAAGTTCATGCTGATATTTTAGTATTACAGTCCGACTTGTATTTTTTTGCAACTCACAACTTGGTGAATAATTGATTTTTACTTTCGTTTTCCATCGGCAATTTAAGTGTCAACCAGACCGACCGACTACCGTCCCGGACTTTGGTATAACTTTATAGAGATATTCGTTAAATGACACATTCTGAAAGAAGGCGCTGGTCTTGATTTTTCAACCCCATAACAAACATTGCGCAGGTGCATCATACATGGTGACACATGTCAAAACGTTGAACGTCAAGTATGTTATGAATTTTTCTTCTCAAAAAAAAAAATTTTTTTTTGCAAAAAGTCCTTACGATGTAGTCAAAAATTAATTTTGAAAAATAAATGCTTACAAACATATAATAAACATAATTTTTATTTACATGTACATATGTATATATGTGTGTATATGTATACAAATGTAAATTTGCATATTCTTTTATATATTTTCTTGTAATTACTAAATGATTGTTTACTTATAAACAATTTCTAAAATCTAGCCAACGTTCAGCTACTCGTTGGAAAATATTCTTTTTCAAAAGCCAAGAAATCTTCCTCCGTGAAAATAGATTTTAATTCCTTGGGTTTCTTTGGTTTCTTCAATTTATCATCTTTTTTGGTTCGTTTTAAAATCTGAAATGGTAAACATTTAAATATAACTCAAAATTATTAACTACTTACCATACCTTGGTTGCAGCAGCTGGCGTGATAGTATTTTGTGATAAAGCTAAGAGTCGTTTTAAATTTATATCTGTTTTAGTTTTATCAGGTTTTAGCTCCTTCCGCACTTCTTCTATATTCCTCTTCTGCTTTGTAGCCAACGAATTTGACTGGTGACTTCGCTGTTCCTTTGCTACCTTCCAACCGGGTTGGTGATGCTTTTTGGCAAGTGTTTGCTCTTTATGGTGTTTAGCTAAAAATAAGTGCGTGTATTTTCAATTTTGTATAAATGCTATTTGTTTGTCAAATAGTTTTAGCTTTTGGAAAAGTATATTTGTACCTGTTTTATCAATGTGTGCTGTTTCATCTAATATTTCTAAACTTTGCTTTAATAGTTTAAGCGACATTTTTATAGTATCTTTTATCTTAAAAACTTATATTAGATTTTTTAAACAAATTTGTATTCTTTGTTTACGTCTTTATTCACCTAATACCGACACAGAGTTGCTGAAGGCACGTGTGTTTAAAAATATTCACCATGGCAGCACAATGTTGATATTTGTTGTATTTCAAAGTTAATAATTTACTCATTAAGTTATGGAAATTAAACAACCTTAAATCGCATTGTGCCACATATGAATGTGAGCGTGAGAGTCGAATGCTCTATATGTCCAATGTCTAAATGCAGGAAATTTTCATAGGTGAGTACGAGTAATCGGTGAGGTATATAAGATACCGTGCAACACAGCGTTCAGTCGGTGACAAAGTAGTAGAGTGTGGAAGTTGTAAAATACGTAGAAATGCAAGTCGATCTCCAAGGCTGAGGAATGTGAGCTACCCGAAAGAAATGTGTGCTGGCTCTTGCCAATATATGCGCCATAATCATCCATATGTGAATAGATATGGACGAATACTAACTTTGGAAACACACATATCGAACTTCATGATTCGATATGACTTGGATATTAATGAAGAGCGGTTACTGATGTGAACACCGAAGTTGTAGGAGAAGTAACGTGCAAGTTCGCAATAAGGAATGTGGTGGTATTACACAAGTTCATAGTAGTGCAGATGGTAGATGAGATTATCATAGTAGCCTCCTTGTTTGGCCAAGGCATTAAGTTCGATATACATAACAGAATTAAGGAGCACAAAAACATAGAAATGCCATCTAGCAGTGGTTATAAGGGCTCATACAGTAGCAAGCGAGTGGTCCTAGAAGACAGCTAACAGAGCCCACCAAAGTCAAAAGCAGTTGATAAGGCAAATATTTATGGAGATTTCGGTACAAAGAATCATGATTTAGAAAGAGAATTATGTTGAAACAATGTCTAAAAGCGGATGTCATCATTAAATGCAGAGGTTTACTTGAAGGCGATTACATATTCATGCATGATTTCCTTCAAACTCGCGAACGCAAGAGTTATAAGGCAAAACATGAGACCAAAGAATTTCAACATTTTATATAAGACACAAAGCAGGCTGCACCAACGTTGTGAGAAATTACATTAAAATTCAACGTGACGCCTGCGTGGATTATGCAACCTGCCATTTTTGAAAGATTAATATGATTGAAAGTCAACATTGGAAAACATATTTTGTATCTCGACGACATCATGGGTTAAGCCTATAGGAACACCGAGACAATATGGAAGAAATTTTCAAGAGGATAATTAGCACTGGCTTCACACAATGTTCTCAAAAGTGCTTGTGGAATATTGTTGCGGCTACAATAATAACAACAACATCAACAAACACAACATTGATAGTTAAAGCATATCAGAGATCGGCCAACACATTTAATACAAGTCGTCGTGTATATTAAAGAAAATTATGAGTTATTCAGAAATAAATAAACATTGATTGAGTTGCTTACTATTAAGAAATTGTGGAAAAAAATTGGTGACTTTTATTTAACAAATCTAGTACGGGGCTTGAATTATTTAGAAAGGCGTATTAGCTGAAATCGTTATTTTAATTAATAATTCACCGATATGGCATCCCTGTTAGCGACGAAATAAATCAAACACATACAAACTAAACGAAGAAAACTCGAAAATAAACGTAAATTTTAACGCGATGAACTTTGGCAACTGAACGAAGTGAACAAATACGCCGCCATTTTCTCTTGTGCATTTCTATGTCAATAGTTTACTAATATCAAAATTTCGGTGGGGTTTTGTTGGGGTAAATTGCACAATTTTCCCATAAAATTAGATAATTTTTGTTTAGAATAGTGCAAAAAGTCTAGTGCGATATCGAGAAAATGCTTGAACGCTGTTTGCGTTATGTAATGACGCATCTAATTGGCCAATAAAGCCATTGAATAAGATTCGTGCGTGCATGCGAGCGAGCCGAGCTGTGGCCAACGGCAACAGCAGCATCAACATTCGTCCAAATCGCAACCTGAAGCTGCACACCAGTTCATTTTAAAACATAATCATATTAATAGAAAATTAATTTTAGTGACGTTAAAATATTGAGGTCTCTACCTCATTGCGCAGCTTACGCTGCTAATTACATAGAAATTTTGGAACCCCTTTTAATCTCCGTAGAATAGAACGTAGCCCTTATTCCGAGTGAACGTTGTTTGTGTTTCTGTGTGCACGTTCAAAGACCGAGGAAGTTTCCTCGAACTTTACTCTTGTGAACTAAGCTCGTTTCTACCTGTTCAAAGGTAAAACCGGGGATAAGAAGAGTAAGAAGAAAACACTACGAAGACAATAGGAAAGTAAACTAACAAAGGAGTTGAAACGTGAGTACATGAAATATTTAATGTAGAATAGTTAAGGTGGCTGTCCCCAGTGTTTCCATAACAAATGTAATGAATTTTTAATGATTAAAAAATGCACATAAAGAAAAAAATATACGATTATTGTATTGGCCACGTATCCTTTGCTGATCGTCTATAAGTGAAAAAGTGTACTAATTGTAAAAAGTGTTGAATTATAGTATCTAGGAATATTGCTCTCAATTACATTCTAATATAATAAAAAATAATAATAAATGCCTTGTCAAGCATTGCGTTAGTAAAAAATAGCATAAAGACTGTGTGTAAGTTGTCACATCAATGAATCAGAAACTAAGGAAATTAATAGCAATTTCCATGTATTGTTTATGAATATCGTCCCTTTATAAACAAAAATAAACTTTGGGGACGTGCCACACATTTTTGCTAATGAATATATAAGTTTAAAAAAATTGTTTGCTTTACAGATATATTTCGCTACATAAACGTAGACTCCACTCGGTTATAATGGCCACCAGTGACGATGAGCCCATGCACCTTTATGAGGTGTTTCAAAATTGTTTTAACAAAATTGCAAACAAACAGCCATCCACAGGAGTACCCGAACGAAATGGTGGCTATCAATCACCTTACGCTGGACTCGGTTTGGAAAATGGTATGTACCCCAATGACGATTTCAATCCAATGCATGATGCACCTGGTGGGAGTAATCGATTCGGTGATACAAGTGCGGGAGTAAATCAGTATTTTGACACCAATCTCGGAAATGGAGGAGGTGTTCCACCAGGTGCAGGTGGGGGTCCTGGTGGAGGCTGGTATCCTTCGCCAGTAGGTGGTTACGGCAATCAGAACGCATATCAAAATAACGGGCCTATAGATTCTCACCATTTAACAACGCAACAGCATCATAACACCGAAGCACAACACCATGGTATGGGTAGTAGCAGTGCTATGGGTGGTGGACTGCCTATTGATAATGTTGGCATGCACAGCCCAGTAACTACATCTCTACCACCAATGAGTTCATTTCGAAATGGCACTAATAATATGCAGCAGATTAGTGGACCAGCGGCACATTCACCGGCAGCGCTTTACAATTCTCCACAACACAGTGCCCAACATAATGTTTTAGCGACGGGAAATGCACACGGTCATCATCCTCTTTCCCATCACAACCAACCACATAGCCCAGCGGTGCAGTCAGATGCCTTTGGAGTAGGCGTTGGCAATTTGGGCTTGGGTCCCAAAGGACCATCTGCAACAGTTGGAAATTCGACTGCCTCTTTGCGACAGCATATGTACATGACTGCAGCTGCAGCGGCGGCTGCGGATCAAAGTATCAGCAGTTTTAGTTCGAATCCCTCAACGCCAGTAAATTCTCCACCACCTTTAACTCAAAGTGGCTTGGCCCAATCGCTGCTAGATAAATCTGTTGTTGGCAGTAGCAGCGCCGGAGCACCTTGGGGTGCAGTTCTTAACAGTGCAGCCGCAGGTGTAAATTCGGTTGGAGCAGGAGGTATGGGAGTTGGCGTTGGTGGTGGTTATGCCAGTGACGTTGGACCATCTGGGCTACACACAATGGCCGCAGTCTTCCAGGGAGCACGCATGGAGGAGCGCCTTGATGACGCGCTTAACGTACTAAGAAACCATTGCGAACCCGAGCTATTAAGCGGAGTGGGTGCAGCACTCTCTGCCATGGATAACATGGATGGGTTGTCTAGTTTTGTTCAAACATCACCGCCTACACATATGATTGGAGGAGTTGGCAGCGCAAGCGGTGTGTCAAATCTTCATTCGCCACATGATGTGTTGGCAGGTACAGGGCCGACAATCGATGCCGTCGGTAGCGGAATGAATGGCACGCCATCCACAGTACCACAAATTAAAATGGAAAGATCATCAACGGCAACAACCAGCGGTACGGGTACAACGACAAAGTCATCAAAGAAGCGAAAAGAAGCGGCAGCCACAGCCGCCGCTACAATGTCGTCTGCTTCGGCTAACTCTGGCGGAGGTGCTTCTACCTCATCCATGAGTGGCGCTATGGGTGGTATTGTTGATGGCGCTGATACAAAACCTACAAGCTCAATGGAGGCTACACAACACAACCAGCAAGGAAACTCAGGGAAAGGCTCCAAGCGACCCCGCCGTTATTGCTCATCAGCTGAAGACGATGACGATGTAGAGCCTGCAGTGAAAGCCATGCGCGAAAAAGAACGACGTCAAGCAAATAACGCGCGAGAACGGATACGCATACGCGATATTAATGAAGCGTTAAAAGAACTCGGCAGAATGTGTATGACACACCTTAAGTCGGATAAACCGCAAACAAAACTCGGCATCCTAAATATGGCCGTAGAAGTGATAATGACGTTGGAACAACAAGTACGTGAACGTAATTTAAATCCGAAAGCAGCTTGCCTGAAACGTCGAGAGGAAGAAAAAGCAGAAGACGGTCCAAAACTTGCGGCGCAACATCATATGTTGCCACAACCGCCAGGTGGTGGGGTTTACGGACAACCACCATTGCCACAAGTGTCTGTACCGCCAGGCGCCGGCTTGTCAGTACCACAGCCACAAGGACCTGGTGTACAATTGCCACCACATTTGCAACAGCACAATCAACCGCAACATCCCCAACAATAGCAGGCGACTGCAGCGGCAATAGCAGCAGCTACAGCACTCATGACTGAACCACCCACTTCCTTACCACCTTTTACCACACAACAGCAACAACAACAGGAGGCCATCAACAATAGTAACGCCAGTGCAACCAACGCCATGGATTTGGAGCAACAGATATTAAACAATCTTTTTAGGCGAAGGCATCCACCGCCACCGCATCTACAACATAGTGGTAGTAATGCGCATGTGCAATTGCAACCCCAACATGCACAACACCAACTGTAGATAAGCAGACGCAGAAGGAATTGCTGAATGTAGAATGCAGAAAAAGCGCAATCAGAGTCTTTGTTGCTTAATATGTGGCAATTTTCCTCTAAAGATTGTTATTTTGTTTTGTAGGTAGTTAGTGCACACAGCGCATACATATATATTATATATCAGTATGTATGCATACGCATATGCAAAAACACAAAACGACACGCACATGGCAGCGTCTCGATTGTATATAATCCATAATTGATTAAGAAATATATAGAACATGCATATTTCTATGTGTATAACATACAATATGTACATATGTATGCATTATGTAGTATTTAAAATTAATGTATGTATGATTTTGTTTTTTACAACTTTGCTTGTGTTTTAGTGCTATTTGCGTCTACCGAATTATGTTTTATCTCACACTCTGTTTAGATTTCATCAACCTATTTTATTGCAAAAAAAAAAAAAATGTATTCCCTACTTGTCGTACAAAAACAAATCATGTATGTATATACGACAGCCATATTTTTCTACACCTTTATAAATTAAGTAGTATAATCATGATAAGTAGAATGTGTAAAATACTTCGTTTTGTCGCTTGTTGACCGACCGTCAATGTGCTTTTATTATGTCTGCGTAAATTGTCATAACATAAATACTTTTTTTTTTTTACTCAAAAATATGTTAGAATATTTTATTCAGGTAATTCAATTATAGAAAAGCTTAAAAATATTTCAGTAGCATTCATGCACTCCACACATCTTGTATATGTACTACTGTTTTATAAGCACTAAAGTATGTAAAGTAACGGAATTAAAGTGTCGAAAAAATAAAACGTATCAGTCGCACGAAGATGACAAATTTTATAGCAGCTAATCTAAGCAGTTTTTTTTTTTTTTTGTTAATTTTTTTAATCCAATAATACTGATATCAACGATGATGTGACGCATAAAATAGCTGATTTTTTTTTTTTGGACATTTGTAAAGGAATAAAATGGTAGAACGCAATCAGTAAAAACAACAGTCTAAAATCTTATATTATAGTGATAGGAGACGAAAACTCTTAGCCCAAGACTTGTGGAACAGGTAGCATGTTGTTGTTGTCAACGCAAAAATATTCCCCGAATTGAGTTTTGGGGAATATTGAGGAGGCGATAGATCTTGGCCGGATAAAAATACAGGTTGTTCCGTTATGAATACACGCGGATTAGCTATTAGTTGCCTCTTACGAGAGGCATGCCTTACCACGGGTGCATTTTTGAGCTCCTAACCCTCAGAGCTAAACGAGTAGCATAGTAGAATAGCTGAAATGAATTTTTTTTTTAAATTTTTTGAGCTTTAAACTATTAAGATGCACTACATTTTTTAAATAACTTTTGCAAAATAGTTGTGTTCAAAAAACTAAAAAAAATTTTCAAATAAAAAATTTTACACAGAAAACAATTTTTATTTTTTAAAATAAAATTTCAACTCAAAAAATAATAATTTTTTTTATGTGAAAAAAAAACTCAATTGAAAATCGTTATTGGGTTTTTAGTTTTATGGATCTGTCTCCGACCATATATTTTTTGGAAATAGTGAAAGAATTACAACAACAGTTGTGGATTCCATGAAACTAAAAACCCAAAAGCAGTTCAACAGAACAAAGACCTGAAAAAGCATATTGAAAATCGTTATCTTTGATAAAAAATAAAAAATCAATATATATGAAGAATATGATTATTACTATTGATAAAAAAATGTAATGTTCGGATATAATGATTACTTTTGCAAAATATAATTTCTACTATTATTGATTAATTATTTATTTTGTAATTATTTTTTTTTTAAATTACTATTTTTTTTTTAAATTATTATTTTTTTTTTTAAATTATTATTTTTTTTTTTAATTATAATTTTTTTTTTTTAATTATAATTTTTTTTTTTAATTATTGTTTTTTTTTTTAAATTATTATTTTTTTTTTAAACTATTATTTTTTTTTTTAAATTATTAATTATTGAATTACCGTAATTTTTGTATAAACTCATTTCTATATGAAAGCTTAGAGGCATTTCTGTCCGTAAGATATTAGCAAATTTGTGTGAGATTTCTATCAAATATGTGATATAGGTGTTTCCTTCTTGTCCTGTTTAGGCTGTTGGGAAATGTTTTTAATATGCAAGAATTACGTTAATTTACTAAATAATGATCAGTTGACGTTAGATTTGGTTATTTAGTATAATTTTTTTTTTAATGATTTTTGTAAGCATGACGTAAATACGGGCAAAATTTATTTAAAAATATAAGCAATTGAAAAAGCCAGTGTCAAGAAACGGCTGGTGCTATGCATTGGCTTTGCGATTAAACACATTTGCTATTGCTATTTATTTAATCGTTGTAAGCGGCGAAAAAAATTAAGGCTAATTTTTGATACGTTAAATAGTTCTCCTACCGTAACAGACAATAAATCATTTTTCTTAACCAATCATATTCAAGGAAATATACTTATTTCCATTTTACATATATTTTGTATGCAATAAAAATACATTTTCTCCCAGTTGAAAATTTGAAAATTTGAAATTTTGAATTTAAAGCTCAATAAATTCGAAATAAAATAAAATCCCTCCGCTGTTCTACTGCTCCTCAGCCTGTTCTAAAGCGCGTTGATTTTCCATACATGGACTTGCGTGACATTTTTTTTTGTTTTTCTACTTCTGCATAGTATTACACAGACTAGATAATTAATTTTTTGGAATTTAGTTGGAATTATGCTGGCAAATAGAACTTGCCAAAACATTTATATGATTTGTATTTGGTAACTTGGTAGCTCATTTTAATGTTCAATTTCATTTAAATAATTTAGTATGTGTAAATAGAGTTTTTAGTAGACTGTTGATTATAAAAAATAAAAAAATAGTGTAATCAATAAATTTTGTTCAAATGCGTGCTGCTGCTGTTGCATTAATTACAAATTGAGAGCAAAAGATGTACTAGAACTGTTTTGTAAAATAATTAAAATGAAATAAACGAATGCAAATTAAGTGATTAAGGCATATGAGCTCAAAAAAAAAAAAAATTCTGAAAAATAATGAAATAAATTAAAAACAAAAAAAAAAAACAAAAACAAAATAATGAAGTTATATATATTCATAGATTATTAATAATTGATTAGTATTAGCTGCATACAAGCATAGGTACATAAAAACATATTATGTAATAATAATTGTGTCGATATATACATATATATATATATATATATATATATATTATATATAAATATATAAATAATTTACATATGTAATAAAAACTTATATAAATTGGTTTAAATTTAATGATATTAGCTTATAAGACCGCACAAATATAGACAAAGTTGAGAATGTTGAACAAAAATGAATAAACAGGCACAGGAGGCACATACAATACAGATATGTGTAGCTACATAAGTAAAGAAATATGTATAATGTATGTATGTAGTTATGCAATTGTTGACAGTAACAAGCAAGCAAAAACGTGAGTGGTAGAATTAAACAAAAACAAAAAATATATATATCTATATAAAAAAATGTATAAAAAGCCAAAATTATGTAAAAAAGGAAGGGAAATGCTCTTTAAAGAAAAATGCCAAAGCGAAAAGTGCTCAACGCGGCGAATTACATTAAAATTTTTAAATTGTTGTGTAGATCACAAATACCCAATTCGCCGTTATGATACACTTACGCAACGTAATAACTGACATGCGAGATTTTTGTTTTGTTTTTTTTTTTTCACGTAATTTTTTTGGCAATCAATTGACTGTGTTGTAAATTTTTATTTTAGTTTTTGCCGCCAAAATTGAACGTTTTCAACACAAAGTGCCAATAGAGAAGAAACTAAAAAAATATTTTTTTATTTACAAAACTTGTGTATACACTACTGTAGGAAATGTCACAATAATCGTTACATACAACTTTCGGTTGTCGTTTTAATTACAAAAATTACCACTGCAAGCTGGCCAAATTTAAATGTAACAAATTAAGTATCATACAGTTTATTTCAAATGCACTTTTTACTTGAAACAAAAAAGCAGTTAACTGAATATGAAAAAAAAAAATTAAATATAAAAATTTAATGCATATAAGCGTACAAGTATTATTTTTTTATTGCTAGTTAGTTTATCATTTTCTGGTTTAACTGCATTAACCGTTAATTTTTCACCATTCCCTTCACGGCTACTTTCATGCTCAAACAATATTTTGTATGTTTTTTTTAGACACTTTATGTTTTTGTTTTAAATCCAGTAACATTGCTGCCTTCCTGTTTGTCTCCTTAGACGCCATCACATGACATTATCATTATATGTATGTAGCTGTTAAGAAATGCAAGGAACACGCTCAAATTTATTTACTAAACATTTTTTACGCCATTACATACAGTTAAATATTTTTAGCATAAAATTGAAAATAGTTTTTGTAGTAAAAAAAAAATATATATTTTTTTTTATAAATACTTAATACATATTTTATATACATACATACATACATACATACATACGTAGTAAAAATTTGTGTTGTTTGAATTATGATTTTAAGAATATTTTTTGTACTTATTTCCCAAAAATTACAAAAAATTTTCATACAAAATTAATTACTTAAACAATTTTAATAATTTAAGTTTAATTAAAAATAAAATTAATATTAAATACAAAATAAAAAATATGAGACCTTAAAACATACATAGAAATATACAAAAGTTGAGTATTTTAATTGAACCGGCTAACTGTTCATTACTTATTCTAGAATTCGTTTATATTACTTAAAGTTTATAATTATGATAAATTTATTCTTATTTTTTTTTTTTTAATATTTTTACATTTCATTTGTATTTTCGTGGTCAGGTTTTGTAAAAGGGCCACAGCTTAATGAGTTTTCATATAAGTGAGCTGTAAAAGAGCGCAAGCGAAGGAGAGAGAGATAGAGAGAGAGAGAGAGAGAGAGAAACGTATATGTATGTAGTATAGCAGACGAAAATGGTTGAAGAACTAAGGAAATTATATGTATTAATTACTATTAAAATGGTAAATATATCACATGTGTATATTATATGTACTTAATTTTTCAATGTTGTTGGTTTTATTATGATTCTTTGAAATCTCAAATTCGCAGCGCGTGTCATTCGTGAGGAAGGGTCTTTAAGACTTCAAATTATTCCTACTCTCTCTTGTCCCATTAGACTGAGAAGGCATGTAATTTTAAGTATTTGCTTTCCTTTTAGCGCAATAACTTGTCTTATCCCCTATCAGCCACATTATCGCGGTAACAATAAACAACATACTTCTATAATGGTAATGGAAGCTCTCCTTTTCCTCCTTTTCCAAGCGGTGTGCTGTTGTAGTACCGGTTCGCCAACCCCGCTTAAAACAGATCAATCTAAGTCAACGAGGTCCTCTAACGGGCGGTCTAAAAAGCGCGCCGTTTGGACGGCTTCGCAGCTGGGAGAAGGGGAGGTTTATTTTTTTTTCCTTTGTCTAGCTAGGAGCAGTATTGCTGTCGTTTAGGGTCTCATTGCATACACGACATACTTTGGGTATGTCTAAATAGGCCTAAATTAATCCGACTACAATATCCATATAATAATTGTGACTCTCGTCTAATCAAGCACAGCTACGAGGTGTGACAATAAAGTAATGAGACTGATTATATTGACGCGATTGTGATAACCCTGCAACCTTCTCCTCTCCATTGTTATATTTGCCAACGCTCTAGCTTGTTTAGTTCGTCTGCTGTGCAGACTGAATTGTCCGCAAAGAATTTCTTCCACCGAGGCAAACTGTAAATCAAGTCTACTATCGTCAAGTACTCAGAAAGATTGCGAAAAGAGTCAACAAGGTGTGCCCAGACATCGCTCTTAACTGGATCATTAATCACGACAACGCGCCCACTCAGCGTGTCCCAGTAAAGAGATTGCGAAGGAAAGGACGGAATTAAAGGAATGAAAAAAAAGAAGGACTTCGTCGTAATTTTGACTGCGTTTTTGTATTTATTTGTAATCTTTGTCCTTTTTTGTCTGCTCTACATAATTACAGTTTATTAAAATTCATTACTTAAGCCTATAGATCCACTTCTGAAAACAATCTTCGAAGTCTTGCTTTTAGGCTTATCAAGTTCAGTATTAACCGCATTCGTTGCTATTAGAGTCCTTTCTGTTCAACCGCATTCGTTGCTATTAGAGTCCTTTCTGTTTAAATTTTATTTGAATTTTTGGAAATAAACAGAAATCACAAGGTGCTATATCTGGGAAATATGATGCTGGACGTATTTCTTCGATCCCAGATCCTTTTCAATTTTCATTGATTAAATTTTACGGATTTGTTCGCTCCAGTTTGGACTGCTATTTGGTTTCTGGGTCGTACTTATGGAATCAAGATTCGTCACCACTATCAACTTCCAAACAACTGGGAGGAAGGAAAGGAAGGAAAGGAAGGAAGTAAAGGAAGGAAGGAAAGGAAGGAAGGAAAGAAAAGGAAGGAAGGAAGGACTTCGTCGTAATTTTGACTGCGTTTTTGTATTTATTTGTAATCTTTGTAATTTTTTGTCTGCTCTACATAATCACAGTTTATTTCAATTCATTACTTAAGCCTATAGATCCACTTCTGAAAACAATCTTCGAAGTCTTGCTTTTAGGCTTATCAAGTTCAGTATTGACCGCATTGATTATTTCTTCGTTGCTATTAGAGTCCTTTCTGTTTAAATTTTACGGATTTGTTCGCTCCAGTGTGGACTGCTATTTGGTTTCTGGGTCGTACTTATGGAACCAAGATTCGTCACCACTATCAACTTGACTAAAGTTGCTAGACTGACCAATTCTGAATTCGTTTAGAAAAAATTGAGCAAACAGCGCTGGAGCCTCTTTTTGGGTCTCATTTAAAATTTGTGATGCTCATCGAGCAAATTTCTTCATGTATCCCGGAGTATTCCTTAATATCAATAAAACAGCTATGTAATTTAAGTCCGATTCTTTAGGAATCACTTCTTGTGTCAATCGTGGGTCTTCGTCAATTTTGGACTTCACCAGAGCTACAGTGACGTCATCAGTGGAAGATTTTGGTCGACCTTCTCGGTGCTCCGCATCCACGGAAGAATGTACGGTCTGATAACTTCGGAACCGCGTAGAAATAGTCTTTAAAGAAGGTGAAATCGTTCCATATGCAATCTGGTATTCACTGAATATTTGTATTGGCTGTCGTTTGACCTATACTCAGCTATTTTGCGTTTTCTCGCCTCCATTTTAGCCGATCGTTCTAAAATATGCTAGAAAGACTAATAAAGAAATTACAAAAAAATTTGGTATATTTGGACTTAGCAAAAATAAAATTGAAATTCACCAACTAATCGAACTTTTGTTAATCCCTCGGACTACTGCAGTAACTGCTTCTTAATTTTTTCGTTTTATTGCCGGCTTTTAGGCGCTTAATTTATATATTTTTTTATTCTAATACTTCTAAATTTATATGATTTTAGAAGAATTTTGATTTTAATTTCATGACCAAAATATTTATTCCAAAAATCATTTTTGAATGTTTGTTTCAGCAGTTACATAAATGCGGATGAAACTCAGATCAAAAGTATATTAAAGCGTAATAATTTCTTAATATTTTTTTTTTAATCTCTAAGAATTTGAGTGATCTTGGCGAAGAATTTTTTCTTCTCTGGAAATTCAGTGTTTAAATGTTGAACAACATCAAGAATATTGTCATTGATTTCCATTTGCTTTTGCAGCAGCTGATTCAATGTGCTTTCGGAGCGTATTTTTGGAGACGTGCTGCCCACACCCAAACGTCGATAGGATTTCGCACGGTTTTGTTTTCTAACAATGCGTTCTAAGTTGTAATGTTTCTGCAATAGGCTGTCGTCAATCTTCCGACGCAACTCTTCGTCGAGTGCTTTCTCGCGTTCAATTTCATCGTTCAAACGTTTCTGATCGGCGCATATACGTGCATTGTCCCGTGTGACTTTCATTAGTTGTTCATCGCTAATAATACTAATCTCATTTTGAATTTTCTTCAAACGATTACGCAAATCGGTGACTTTCTGTTGTGTGGAAATACCGGTTTTCATGCGTTGAGCTTTCACTTCGGCCAATTTTTTAGCCGAAGCTGCTATGTAGATGTGCTCACGATGCGCCACACCATGTTGCAGATCCTGCGCTAGTTTCTCTTGTGCACGCGACAATTGCTGATAGCGTATTTTCATGCGATGTATCTCGGTTTTCATGTTACCAATCTCACTCGTCAGACTCATTTCGTCTTTGCGCCAACGTAAAGTCTCTTCGATCAATTTATATTTGGTCTCCCATGATAATGATTCGCGATGCTTATCCAGCACCAGGTCTTTATAATTATCAATTTCGTCTTGTAGCTCATCGATTTCGGCTTCCATATTTAGAACATTCATTTCATGATCCTGGAAATGGAAAGAAGTTCTTTTAGTGCTGCTTGAGATCTAAGGGAAGATTTATTTGAGTTTTATACCTTCAGCTTAAGTACAAGTTCATTGTGCTCCATCTGACATTCGTTTTCCTCCGCATCATGCTGGGAGCGTGCATTGCACATTTTTTTATTCAAGAGTTCCAATTTGGTTAAATAAATTTGTATATCATGCTCCAGCTCTCTTGTGGCCTCTTCCTGCTTTTCCAGGTCTACGTCGATTTTTAGAGATTTCTGCTTTATTATGCCCAGCTCTGTAAAATGCAAAAAAAAAAGATGTGTTAAAGTCGCACCTATGTAAGATCGAGAAATTCAGTGGTTGTCAACATCATCAAAAGGAACGAAGAAAACTTGGACCAGGTGTTGTGATTGCAAAAATATTTCACAGTCCGAGTCGTCGAGGCTATCTTCCGGGAAGCCCAAGAAACGAGTTGTATGTGGGATTTAGTGGGCATACAAAGAAGCGGTTATTGTAGTGCGGGTTCAAGGAATACGTTAGGTATGGTAGGGTCGAATATAATTGAGTATTAGTTGGGGCTGCGTTCTCGGGATACAGATTGAGCTCTCTCCACAGCGTGTGATGATTGGATTCCATTTACGTTAGTAGGTGAAGGATTAATAAACGTGTTCCCTGCCAAGGGGTTCCGTGAAATGAAAACCAAGTACTCCCGGTTCAGAGCTGGTGTCTACACTGCTAATGCCTGCGGTAGATTTATACTTCGGTGACAATCGCAATCGCAATCGTAACTATTAGTAATTTTGGGGTTTTAGCTGAAATTTCGATATAACCGACTTGATTTGATAAATAGGATCGCCGTGGATTTCGCTGATTGTAATTGTAAATGTATTTCAGCGCAGAAGTGGTTACAATTAAACAATAGCAGGGAGAAGAAACCGCCCACGATTGTTTTCTTCTTATTTAATTTTCATGAGCTCGGAGTTGTAACCCTAAAGTCATGCTGATGTGTACCTTCGCTACTATCGATATGAAAATCCTTCATTTGCTGGTTTTTCTGGTTTCAACAGCGGGACTACACGACCCAGGCCCCAATTCCACATGCCTGGTTTCAATTGCAGTGGTGTGATTCCGCTGGGTCCAGATGTCTCCTAATCGGCATATTTATTCACTCGTTTCGTTCTGTCACAGTAAAAAAAATCGTCATTTCGGTTTGTTGCGTCTTTAAGCTAGATTCGCCACTACGTTTGGCAGCAGCGCTCCTGACTGTCTTATGACACTTAGGTCAGATGGTGTGGGGAAGGCACTAAAAGGGTTTTAAGTAAATTCCATGAAGCCGGGCTAATCAATTGTGAAGTCCGTTGAGCAATGTCGAGTCGTCTAACTGTTCTGTCAGCTCAATTTTCTCTGCGTTCAGTTGGCACACTAGAGTGACAAAAGGCTGTATTGCGCGGTAAAGTCGCATAAAACTAAATAGGATGACGCCTATGATTAGGAGCTCGAAACTATGCGGTGTTATGTAAAACATGACCACTAAGACACCACAATTGTCTCGCTATGACTTTGAAGCCGAAATAGTTTAAAAGACCTGAAAGGAAATTTATCTAGATTTTTGGACTTCAAAAAACTTTGGACTTTTGCACTTAAACTGTAAGAGTCTGGTTTGTCTCGGGAGAGCGTTAGTAAAACGGAGGTAACACCAGTATCTGAAAGATGAATGCCACATAGTCTGGTCAGAAACATGAAAGAGATAGTGTGGAGTACCAGGAGATATTGTTGGAACTATATATGGGAGGAGGTGGAGAGTTGTAGAGGAATGGAAGTCATGCTGCAGAGAGCTCACTGATAGTGGAGAACTATTGTTGATTACTCATAATGGGTAATGGTTCCAAGGACACAATTATATTGACTTGAATCTATTTTAAGCGTCGTGGGGATATATGAAGCAGATAGCTGAAATAAAGTATCGGACCAGTGGTGTTTCCGATGCCAGCGTGACCTGCCTTGCAGACTGTTTCGTTTTGTTTGGGCTTTGGCCTTACTAGTAGGTCGAAATTAGTTCGTCACTTGTACGTAGAGAATATATTATTTCGCAGGTAAATTTATGGTGCTTTCGACCAAGAAATCGTGCTGTAGTTGGTACATCATCGGTCAGAAATGGGACAAACCTTAACCTAGACAAAGGTACCTGGCTCTTAGCCAAAAAAATAATCAGCTATAATTCGGTAGAATGGGAAATTGTCTCCTATGAGAAATTCAAATCACCAGCAATAGATTTATTCCCAAACCTGGACAAAAGGATTACACAGTAGTCTTTCAGTTTAACATCCTTGAAATTAAATGCCATGGAAAAGATTATCGATAACCACATAGGAACAACTAATCTAAGGAATACATCTCTACACTTCACACAGTATGCGTACAGAGAGGGAAGATCAACCAATCAACTATCATAAGTATAGCTGGTATGTAGAAGATTAGCAGGGAAAATATTGGGGTACACCCACCAAAATCCTGTATTGGATGTATACCATGATAGTAAAACCAACAATAACATACGGCGCGGTTGTCTGGTCAGAAAGAGTAAGGTTAAACACGATCAAAGCTGCAGTAACTAAACTGCAAAGACTAATTCAAAATATCCCTAGGTGAAAAAGAGTATGAAACCAAGCTCAGTTAGTGGAAGCAATAAAACCGCACTCCCTTGTGTGGCGCACAGATGGTTCCAAGACTACTGATGGAATAGGTGCGGGGGTCACTGGACCCAGAACTAAGATATCGATTCCTAGAGGGAAATACCCAAGTATATATTATAGGGATGCGCAGACCTCATACTCCAAAGGAAAATGGTTAACCAACATGTAGTGCAATAATTTGCAGCGATAGCCAAGCTGCACTGAATTCAATATCGTCTTACATAATTAAATCATATATGGTATGGGAATGTGTTAAGAACCTTAAAAGAGTTGGCGAACGAATCAAATTTCATATGTAGGTATTGAAGTAAACGAAATGGCGGACAGACTCGCAAAAGAAGCTGCCTCAAACTCTCCTACTGGACCCCAGCCAATCTTTCCTTTAGGTTTCCACTCAACTAGAGAAAAGATAAGAAGGGAGGAAATGAGTATAAGAAGCAGCTATTGGTATTGTAACGACGGAATAAGGCAATCAAAGAAACTTATAAACGGCTACAATACCAAGAGATTTAAACATATAATAATATTTATTAATATACAGGACATTGCATACTCCGTAAGCATATGTACAGGCTCGAAATATGCTCCGATGAAATTTGTCGATTCTGTGAGCTAGTACCAGAAACACCGGTGCAAATTTTTATTCGAATGCGAAGCTGTTGCAAGAAGAAGACACAAACACCTAGGAGTCATTCAACCGAAGGAGAACCTCATTAAATCAATCAGCTCCTCTATCCCGATTAGTTTTATAAGGGCATTAGGTCTGGTGGAAATGATGCGAAGAAATCGAAGGGCACAATAGACCACTGGTCGCGGTGCAAATCGTCCTTACTAATCTATCTATTTATCTATCCATCTATCTATCAATCTATCCATCTATCTATCCATCTATCTATCTATCTATCTATCTTTCCATCTATCAATCCATCCATCTATTTATCTATCTATTTATCTATCTGTCTATCTATCCATCTATCTATCCATCTATCTATCAATCAACAAATTTATCTATCCATCTATCTATCTAACTATCTATATACCTATCAATCTATCTAACTATCTATCTATCTATTTATCTATCTATGTACCTATCAATCTATCTATCTATCTATCTATCTATCTATCTATCTATCTATCTATCTATTTATCTCTCTATCTATCTATCTCTCTATCTATCTATCTATCTATCTATCTATCTATCTATCTATATACCTATCAATCTATCTATCTATCTATCTATATACCTATCAATCTATCTAACTATCTATCTATCTCTCTAGCTATCTATCCATCTATTTATCTATCTACTTATCCATCTATCTATCTATCTATCTATCTCTCTATCTATTTATCTATCTATCTATCTATCTATCTATCCATCTATCTATCTATCCATCTATCCATCTATCCATCTATCCATCTATCCATCTATCTATCAATCTATCAATCTATCTATCTATCTATCTATTCATCTATCTATCAATCTATCCATCTTTCTATCTCTCTATCTATCTTTCTATTTATCTATCTATCTTTCTATTCATCAATCTATCTATCTATCTATCTATCTATCTATCTATCTATCTATCTATCTATCCATCTATCTATCCATCTATCTATCAATCTATCCATCTATCTATCTATCTATCTAGCTATCTATCTATCTATTTATCTATCTACTTATCCATCTATCTATCAATCTATCCATCTATCTATCTATCTATCTAGCTATCTATCTATCTATTTATCTATCTACTTATCCATCTATCTATCAATCTATCCATCTATCTATCTATCTATCTAGCTATCTATCCATCTATTTATCTATCTACTTATCCATCTATCTATCAATCTATCCATCTTTCTTCTATCTATCTTTCTATTTATCTATCTATCTATCATCAGTCAGCTCCAAAAAGCTTCGTATGCCTTATTAAGTTTTTAAAGTTTAAATGTCATAAAGTTAGCCAACAGTTTCCGAATCTAGGGAGCAAATGACTTCATACCAAATTTAGCTATGAACTTTTTTATTCACCACATATAACAACAATTATAACTTACGTTTCTGTGTCACTTGTATTTCGGTCAGTTGATTACTCCTCTTGTCGGACAAATTAACATAGTGATTTTGCATCATCAGCCAAAATTGTTGAAGCTCACGTATCTGTTGCTCAGTGCTTTGTATGCCTCTCTCCAATATTTTAATCTATAAAAAACGTTGTTGTTGATTTACCAAAAATTATGTAATTATTTCTACAACCAACCTTTTTAATTTGAACACTGAAGCCCGCTTCTTCCCCCAACCGATTTAGTTCTTCCAACCGACTTGATAAACGATCAATTTTTTTCAATCTTATGTCGATTTGCGTCTCAATACCGTTGGTCTCGGCCGAAATGAGTTCTGCATTGCGATCCACAGTTTGCAGTTTCTTTTCGAGATCTTCGTGATCTTGATGCAGTTTCACTAATATGCCTCTGTAACGTTCTGTATCGAGTAGAGTGTCAGAGAGTTGACTTTGTACAACAGCCAGATTCAACTCTGTGCCACGGCGGGTTTCTTGTGCCTCACGCAACAGTTTCAAACGATATTGACTTGCTTTGTCTGTGATTAATTGATCTTGTGCCAGTTTCAACATGCTTTCTTCGATTTGATATTTCCTTGCATACAATTTATCACTTTTCCATTGCATTCTACGCAGTTCGGTTTCCAAAGTGGCACCTTCGCGATTCGCTTCAGTTAAGTCCTTTTCGTTTTGTTTCAACCAAAGTGGTAGTTCGTCGAGTTTCGCTTGTAGCCCGAACAGAATGTCAGACTGTTTTTGACCTGGGTATTGTGATTAGTGTAAAATGTGTGAAAGTTTTATGTCGTGTTACAGCGCATACTCACATTCTCGCTTAATATTTCCGCACTCCGTTAAAAGTCGAGATTTGAAGGATTCCAATTTTTCATTTTGCTTCGTTTCCTTAGTTATTTGTTTTTTAATCGATTCGATACTCATCGTGTTGAGTTTAATGGATTCTTGTTCTTTGCTGGAATTCAAAAAATCTTCAACTGAATTATTTAAGCATGAGACTCTATGGGACTAGAATGGAAGAAATGCGACCTTTCGAGTGCGGCTGAGTTGGAATCCAAGCTACATTGTTATAAACTAATTCTTAATACCCCTAACGGAAAATACTCTATTTCACGCTAGCTCTTATATATTGGGTTGCCCAAAAAGTAATTGCGGATTTTTATGCATTTTTAATAAAACTTAGAATGAACTTTAATCAAATATATAATTGCCATTTTGCTCGATAACCTTTTGCCATCTTCCTGGCAAATTTAGTATTCCACGCTCATAGAACTTCTGGCCTTTATCTGCAAAAAACTGAAGCAAGTGTGATTTTATAGCCCCATCATTGCCGAAAGTTTTACCATTTAAGGAGTTCTGCAAAGATCGAAATAAATGGTAGTCTGATGGTGCAAGGTCAGAGCTATATGGTGGATGCATCAAAAGTTCCCAGCCAAGCTCACTCAGTTTTTGGCGAGTGACCAAAGATGTGTGCGGTCTAGCGTTGTCCTGGTGGAATATGACACCTTTACGATTGACCAATTCTGGTCGCTTCTCCGCAATGGCTGTATTCAATTTGTCCAATTGTTGACAGTAAACATCCGAATTAATTGTGTGGTTCCTTGGAAGCAGCTCAAAATATACGACACCCTTCCAATCCCACCAAACAGACAGCATAACCTACTTTTGGTGGATATCAGCCTTTGAAGTGATTTGAGCTGGTTCACCATGCTTGGACCATGATCGTTTTCGACTAACGTTGTTGTAGACAATCCATTTTTCATCTTCAATTATGACTCGTTTTAAAAACGGATCGAATTCATTGTGTTTAAGGTGCATATCACAAGCGTTGATTCGGTGTGTTAAATGAATTTCTTTCAATACATGTGGTACCCAAATATCAAGCTTTTTCACCAGTCCAAGAGTTTTTATGTGATAATGAACGGTTGATTTTGGTATATTTAACTTCTCTCCTATCTCACGCTCAGTTACATGACGATCCAATTCGATTAATGCTTTGATTTGGTCATTATCAACCTGAACGTGGCTCATCTTTAAGTGAATAATCTCCAGAACGGAATTTGCGAAACCAATTTTGACATTGTCTTCCTTTTAAGGCTTCATCACCATACACATCTCGTAACTTTACGGAAATAATAAAGTAAAATATGACGAAATTGCGGAAACAATAAAGCGTAATACAGAGATGTTCCTGCCAAGCTTGCAGAATTTTGGTCAAAAACTCATTATATTAGCATCTAGGGAAGGGTACAGTGATTGAAGGAGGTCAAATCTAGTGAGGAATTATGGGTATATGGTTATGACATAGACCCACCTTCAGAGTGCATAGGGGATCCAAGACCCAAAAGAGCGCTAGAAGCTCGATCAATGCACCTGCTCACTCGTCAGTGGTTGCTCGAAATTTTCTGACAAAAATCATTTAATATCTGTATTCAAAGTGGACCAGCAAAACTGCTGCATTTGGGGCTCAGATAACCCAAACGTCTTTATTAAGCAGAAGTCAATGCAACCTTAACTAATGGCTATTTGGTATGGCATGTAAACCGATGGTATCATTTGTTCGTTTCTCTTCACAAAGAAGGCAACTACCATTACTGTCAATGCCGATTGCCACCGTGCCATGCTCAGAGATTATTTGTTTCTATGTGCTGAAGATCGTTTGCGCACTGTCTTCGAAAGCCGATATTTATCTCTAACGTTGATGTTAACTGACCACTTCGAAGTTTGACTACGTTGGATCCTTTCTGTGGGGGAGTCGCTTAAGGACAAGAGCTGCGCCAACCATCGGCAGACGATTTATGAAGTACAAAATTGAAGTCGGTACTGTAGCTGCAGAGTGATAATTGAAAAGGTATTGAAAAATTGGATCCACAAATTGGACTGGTGCAAAGACAGTCGCAGCGGTTCGAAAAATATTTATCCACCTTTTTTATAACATTTCGCAAATTTTTCGTGGATTTTATTTTATTCCTAAACTTATTTAGTCTACTAAAATCTGAAGAGGTCTTACCTTTATATTGAAGCAAATAATAAAAGTGATGGTACTAATAGATCATAGACTACACTGGACTCTACCATAAACTGCGTCGCTCATTCAAGAGTGGGGGGGATAATTTAAATGCTACATTCAGCCACATAGCAGCGAGAAAGTGAGACCATCGCCACGTAGTTTTCTGCAGATGAAAATTATGTTAAATAGAATAAATTTTTTAGCAACTACAAACCATGCTTCACTTAATGGACGTTTGACCCAACCCAATCATAAATAATGTGCCAAGAGAACAAGAGTGAAACCAGAGAATGAAGTATTGTATGCTGCATACATTTAAACTACCTATCAAGTGCCTTAATCGGAGAGATGCCATCGTGCTTAGAACGAGTTTGCATAAAGATAAACATCCATTAGGACTTAGAGCGAGAGAAGTCGTTATGCGAGCATACAAACGAAGTTTTCCAATAGCTTTTTTGGACATTGGAGACTAGAATGTATCACTGTATTCGCAGCGTGCGAGTCCGATCCCAAAATAGGCAGTCAGACCACAACGTAAGTGAGATTTGTACTTTTGGACCTATCGAGTTTCGTGAGTCTCGGGAACTTCGTATCCTTGCATGCATAGAAAGATCACGAAATGCAGAATATCCATACATTTTGGTTGGTCGTTACCAAGAAATGCCGACCCATATTAGGCGACATAGGTCTGATGGGAATTTCTCCCTCTTTTGCATTGACTTTGCCGAGGTGAAATCATTCCTAGGTAATATAAAGCCAGCATGTATTTGTATTTATAAACATATATGTAAATGTGCTAGAGTTGCTTGAAAACATCAATTCTAGGCTAAACTTAATTTGAATCTGTTTTCAGCCTGTCGCACTTAAAAGTTGGAATAAAAAATTAACCAGATTGAATTAATCTACAATATGGCATATGGATAAGCTCAAATCTTTCGCCTTTTAGCTGCTTAACGAGTTTCAAACGCTATGGGAAACTAGAACAACATGCACGGATGACTTCATCTTATCCATTCCTTATTCCTTATTCATCTTATCCAAGAGGAGTTTAAATTTTTCCAATTTTATATTTTTTAAATTCTTTAAGCTATCCCACATATAACCCCATTTGCTGAAATCCTATGGATTCATATCGGCGGAAGATAGAGGCCGGAAAAAATATGGCAAGATTTCCTTGCATCGATCCTGAAGAGCTTTTGCCTTGTAAGCTGGAGCAGAGTACTGCTGTTAGCAATATAAAAAAGAAGCTGGGATACAAGAGGAAAAAATGTAGTTGACCAGCAAGGAAAGGTTGCTTTTTGCACATAGGGTTCCCCAGATCATGACTGATGCAGTATTTTGCTATCTTTCAGTTCCTCTCTGATCAACTGGAATATCACACGTTCATTGTGTCATTCTGTGGAACATTGCATCTTGCTTGTCGCTTAAGATATGACTAATTCTTGTTTCCCTCATTTATTTTTGCTTTTCCGTAAGACCATAAATTCGTTTCTTCCTGTAAGCTTTCAGTTTTAGATCCTTTTTAAAAATGTTAAGAAGAGTTTTTTTTGGCTTACATTCAGATCTTTTGCCATTTTTCTTCCCAAAACTACGCAATTCTCTCTTAGTAGACTAGTTGTTCTAACGAAACATTTTCTACCGCGTTTTTATTTTTGGAAATTTTTACGCTACTAGTTGCCTAATATCGAACTACAAGTCCGTTGAGCAAAATCTGTGGTTAACCATCAGGTTTTTAAGTGACTCAGCAATTTCGCTTGCTTTTTTTTCTTGAAAATGCATTGAACACAATATCGCTTGATTTCGAAATGGGTGTAACAATAATACTTCAAAAAGGTGCCACAGTATTTGGGACTCTCGCTGTAAACATGCTGTATATTCGCATGCCAACTATTGATCACATCTGGGTATCAGAAAAAGATTTTTGCCTCGACCACCTTCCTGTAGAAATGTCCGCTAAAATTCTGTCAGGCATTTTAAGCCTTCTGCTAGAAGTCCTTAAGGTTCTGACACTCGTCGGGCGAATCAGACATCACAGGGCTTGACTTCAATTGGGTTGAGTTCTTGCAATTGAGAGGGCCAGTCAATTACTTCAAAGCTGTTGTTTCGAAGCCAAGCCTTAGCAATACGGGAAGCGTGTTTCGGTTCATTATCCTGCTGCATAAAGAAGTCCGAAACATTCTTGCCCCACACTTCTAGGCTCTTGCACAAACCTTGTTGAATGATATCAACAAATTGGCTGGCATCTATTCTCATACGAGCACACGCCCACATCATTGTGTTGCCCCCTCCAAACTTCACCGTTGGCAGAACAATTCAGCTTGTCAAAGGTTCACGATGTTTTCTCCAAACCCATTGCCGCCTATCTTTCGCCAGACGGTTTATTTTTGCCTCGTCCGACCATATCACTCGCATTCAGTCATTTTGGGTGTAGGTTTTATACGAAAACTTGCAATCGAATTGCTTGCGAGTATTTGGTCGCCGATCGCCAACGATTGAGAACAGTCCCTTGCTGATTAAAAAATAATGTTAATTTGCGGAAACTTATAACTTCCTTAGTTCTCAGTGATTGCACAAATAACTCTACGCTATGAGGAAGAAATTCAAGCGACCTTAAGTGGATTTTTTAACTTAATTGCAGAGTTTAATCCAAAAACTCACAATAACCGAGTGGTTGACATATGGAAAGCCAGAGTGCGAGGTGATTAACCTTCAAATTATAGAAAGTTAATATTTCTAATTGTTTACGCTCCTCGGCAGGGAATTACGAGCGCTTTGAGTGTATTTTTGACGTGAAATCATTTCTTCAAAAGATATCAAGACACATATCAAAAGTTGGAGGAGAAGCTCGGCTATAAATCGCTTCAGCGGTTACTAAGATGTGAATTTCTTTCGTTTGAACTGTTGGCTGTTATTTTAAGGTCTAAAATAAAATTAAAAAAATATTGTTGTGTCTGAAAAAAATTCGTAAACATTTAGCAAAGAGAAGAGACAAATAGAAGCTTAAATATCCTCTTTGAGTTGGGCTCAACAGTATTGCGGTTCGACATTCGCTCTCTTCTAAGTTCTTGTTGCCAAAACCATGAGACAAAGCTAATCGATCAAAACTCGATATTTGATTATCGATAGACGATAGCGAAGTCTTTTATTATTTCCACTTCAGTATGAATGAGCGCGAAAAAGCGAAGAACAATACACTATTGCAGGTTATACCCATAAGGCTTCAAATTTTATCAAGAGGCAAATATAACAAGCAGAGAACTCCTTCAAGGAGTTCCATATCAACGAGGCATATTTCAACATAACCAGGAAAGGTATAAAAATATGCTCTTAGAGGAACTCACTGCACTCCTTAGAAAGTCCGCGAAACCACAAATCTATAATTTAGTATGCTTTCTGAAAAATGGGAAAATGTAAAATGTTTATCTCACACTCACTTCATTGATTGTTGCGCTTGGTATAGGATTTTGTCCCGATGTTGTATGGCCACAATCACCTCGCTCCACGCTTGAGTTAGACGTTTGTGCTCCGTTTGCAACACTTCCAAATCGGTATTTGCATCATTAATGCTCATCTTTAGTACGTCTGTTATGTCACGCATATCTTGGACCTCACTACGTACTATTTCCACTTCATGCTCCTTCCTCTTGACCTCCATGTCCAAGTGGTAGAAGAGCATATCCGCTTTCTTTTTATCTTCGGATAGTTGTTTTTGCAATTGCGTGTCACGATTGACAATACGTTTGGCATTCTTCACTTCATCCTCCACCTCATCCGCCCAATTTCGTATGTGTCCCTCTAATGTGTTCATATTCTCCAATTCAATCATACGTTGATTATAATTTTGCTTTTGCTCCTTCTTCACTTGCAAACGTTTGTCGTATTCCTCTTTGAGTTGTGCTACATCAGCTTCCATCTCTACACGTTTTTGCATATTTACTTCTATCTCCTGCACATAATCCTCCAACTGTTCGTTCTGGCGATTAATGCCCTGCTGTAAGTCATACAACTTTGCACCCTGCTCTTCGCGTGCCGCCACCTTCTGTTTAAGTTGATATTTGATTTCGGCGATTTCATTGCGAAGTTGCTCCTTAGTGCGCAAGAGGTAATCTCTCAGATTTGCCTGAAATTTCTGCAAGAGCGGATGATCTGGCGGCAAAAGTGCCAAACGGATCGGCTCCGGTTCGGGCGGTGGTGGCGCTTCTGGCAAACGTGCAAATTCACAAGCATCAGACTGTGGTTCATTATGCTCGCGCTCCTGTTGGCCCACAGTTTCCGAGTCGTACTCGATATTAATTGATTGTTCTGCAGTCTTTACAGCTTGATCTTCGTCACTCATTTTGTAAATGTCATAGAAATATGAATTATTTGTTGTTATATAAATTTTTGTAAAATAATTAAGTCTCTCGCAAGCGCTAATAATCCACACCAGCTATAAGCTTTAGAAAAATATATGTATGCCTGTTTTTTGTTTGTTTGTTTTTTTTTTTTTTGAAGGGTTAAATTTTCTTTTGTTGCTGGGAGACTTCTATTTAATCTATTTTCATTTTATAAACAGTACCGAGTGTAGTGTTGAAGCGTTGCTATGGAAAGTTTTCTTGAGTCATGTTCATGGTGAATGAATGAAAAAAGCTTTATGATGTTTCCATAGCAGGATAATTCGATTCACTATTGCTTCCCTGCAAGACGGAGGTACACATTTCGCAACTAATAACGTACGATTACGGCGTTTTACCACTACATCCACAAAACTGTTTTTCGTTCCTATCTGATAACATAGTGTGTTAAAAAGAGATGTGGGTATGCACATAATTCAATAACGGCTTTTCGAAAATTTCCAGCCATTCATTACAGATACAGATTGATTGAATGATTTCGGCACAGTACCAAAGATTAAATAGCGAAAATCCAAGAAATAATTTATATATGAATGTGCATGCATTGTGCATATTTTTGCAGTTTTTCTTTTATGCAGTACCAATATATATATAAAAATCTTTATTAAGATTGATTAAATGCATTCAAGCCCAGCGTAGTTCAAACAGCCAAATTAGGTATGTAACAAATATATGCTTATACATACAGTGTGTCCCAAAAATAACCGAACTTTTTGTATATAAAATAAATTGCACATTATTTTATCTTTGAAAGTTATTATTTATTCAAAATAGGTTCCATTTGACTTAACACAACGTTTGGAACCATCAACCAGCGCATGCATAGATTTTTTTATGTAATTTATAGAAATGTTCTTCAGTACCTCGGTTACGGCTGCTTGAATGGCTGGGATATCATCATAAAATGCTCCCTTCATCTTGCTTTTCAGTTTTGGAAATAAAAAATAGTCACATGGTGATAGATCAGGCGAATACGGAGTATGGTCGATGAGCGAAATCCCTTTTTTCATTAAAAATTCGAGCGAGTTTTTGGTCGTCATTTAATTCATGTGGAACAAATCGTGCACTGACCTTTCTTTCCCCCAAATCTTCAGTTAAAATTCTTCAAATAGTATTTTTACTCGTATTCAATTCATCAGCCAACATTCTCGTAGTAAAATTTGCATCGATACCAATGATTTCACGGACTTTTTCCACCAGTTCAGCACGATTACTAGTTTCTGGACGTCCTGCTCTGGGGTCGTCATTTAAGTCCTCACGACCATTTTTGAGTCGTGTAAACCACGTATAAGCTTGCGTACGACTCATACAATCATCACAATAAACTTTTTTGATTAATTTTTTTTTTCAAGTTTGACACAAAATTTTATATTTGCTCTTTGTTCCATTTTATTTTTGAACCATTAGCATACTTTTGGTTTTATTGCAATGGCTGTCACTTTTACATCTGTCATCCGACTTACATGATGTTAGGTGCGTTTGAAAGAGGATGCAGGTATCTTTTTAATGTTGCAAATTTTCAATAGATGGCGCTGTATGTTGTATGATTTAAATATAATGCCAGAAATTGTTAGTAAACCCATCAGCCCGTTCTTGCAGGGAATTGCACTCTCTCGTTACTAATTTATTGAGTTTTTGACTCAACTTACACGATTCAGTAAAGTTTAGTAAAAATTGTTACTGCCCATCTGATCAACGAACAGAACTAATTGTGAAACGTTAAATTTGAAGTGTGCTCTGAAATCATAGCAGGCTGACAGTTCAACGTTAACGATAATATGGTGCCCAGAATGAAACAAAATCACTTTGTTAAGTTTATTTCACAAAGTTTTGTTAGCAGAACAGCTCTGAGATATATAAAGTAAATTTTTTTATAAATGAATTTAAGTTTTTATTTTAATTTTAAAAACTAAGGTGTGGTCATATTCCTTTCATGTAGCCCAACGTGGCTTTTACCTGCGACCTATGCCTTCCTTGTCCAATGCTACGTGGCTTTGTTTCACTCTTGTTTTAGTTGATTATTACGAAATTTATTAAATATTATTATTTACTTTTTAAAGAAAAATCTATTACACAATATTTAACATTTAGTGAAAGGTAGAAAAAAATTATAAGACCGCACTTCAGTTAAATGAGCGTTGAAGACCGGCTAAGTTGGGGTATGCAATTGAGGTCAAGTCTTATTGTTGAGAACAACTTTTGAATCCATTGCGATAGTGGAGGATATTATGAGGCGATATATTATTACGCGACCTGCAAAATAACGTCATGCTGGCTTATTTTTGATTGGCTTATTATTTATGTCTAGAAAATAAAACGAAATTAGTTTTTTGAAAGAATCCTTGGTAACTAAAAGTAAAGGCCGATTTCAAAAATATTTACGAGTAAATTTGTTGACTAAGATTTTAGCTCTTTTATCGTATATGTAAAGATAAGGGTTTCCATTACGCGAGCGGCAATTTTTCGACCTCTTTCTCTAGCAATTGGGGTCATATGTCAGCAATTACCCGACGAAAGTTTTTTTCCAAGTCGTCAATTGTCTTGGGCTTATCTGCGCAGTTAAGCGACTTCATATACATACGCATATATGTATATCTTCTTCTTTTTCTTCATTCAAGTGGGTACCGCTTACGCGATTATAGCCGAATCAACAATAGCGCACAATTCGATTTTTCTCTTCGCTGTTCGGCGTCAGTTGGAAATACCAAGTGAAAGCAGGTCGCTCTCCACCTTATCCTTCAAACGGAGGGGAGACTTCACCCTTCCTGTGATGCATCTTGATGGTTATTCTAAGCCGCCTCCAAAAGTCCGAGAGATTTTTATGAGAAGCACATACTTCGTATCAGAAATATAAACGGAGGGCTTGACATTCCCTGCCGAGTGGCGACGACAATTACAAAAATTTTGTTTCTACAATTTTGGTTGTTCGTCGAACCAGAACTCGAACTCTGGCCTTCAGAATGGCATTTAACAATGCTAACCATTCGGTTATCGAGACAATATTAAAGTCCACAATGAGAGATATTTGATTCGTTGCATGTAGCACCGTCTTCTTGGATGCAAAGATCATCCACATCAGCATCCTCTAATTCAGGCACGAAATGGTCATTAAATACCGCTTCATATAACTATACATTATGGCTGGCTTTTGTAAGTAAAAATCGGATTTAAATCACAATTAAGGACATTTTTATAGCAAATCAACCATAACTGGCTTGTTGTTTCTTCTCCTCTCAGATCGCCGTCAATTTAAAACGTCAAGCGAAACCAGGTTCTTCTCCACCTGATCTTTTCAACAGAGTGATCTTTTTCCACTAACGCCAATTCATCGGAAGCTCTCTCTCCTCGTCCATTGCTTACACAGTCCAGAGGATCTGTTGGCGTGAATGATTCTGCAATTTCTAGGCTGAGATTGTTGTTGTTGATGTTAAGACTGATTGCAAGAGAGACGAAAGTATCTACAGCTACAAAGTTATAACTGTCAACTGGTGTCAGAGTCAAGTTGCGAATGGCTGAAAATATGTTTGATAACAAAGGTATTTCGTCTTGTCCTCGCTCACTGCCCGACCCATACGTTTCGCTTCTTTGTCCAGCCTGGTGGCAGCGTGTCTAAGGTTGCGGTTGTTTTGGTCAATGATGACATTGACAGGAGCATAAGCCAGTAGCTGTACATTCTTACGCTCAAGCTTTATAGAATGTAAGGTTACGACAACCGTTGACGTCACCGAAAGATCTTCTTACTAAATACATACAGTGGGCGTGATTTGAAATTATACAATAAAAATAAATAATTTTTCTTTTAAAAAATGTTTATGTATGTAAATGTGGGTAAAATTACCGAAGAAAATACAAATTATACAATTTTTATTTTGATTTTACGTGCTGACGCCAACGCAATCACATATTTGGCCATTTTTTTTTATTAAAAGATGACCCAAAAATTTGCGAAAAATAAGCTACTGTGCAAGGTTTTGATCAAACCAAAATCGAGGTGGACGAATATCATCAAATAATTATAAAAATTTGATACGTAAGTACCATTTTTGTGGCAAATCAATACTACATATTGTTGCGAAAATGCGAAGCGAACGTCAGATGAAAGAGAGAAGCCGATAACTAGTACATTGTAGAACGATAAAACGAGAACCTTCGATAGCGAACAACTCGATTATTCTACACTTTCGTCTACGAGCAGCCGACCGCTATATAAGGGCGACACTCAGCTGCCAAGTTAAGTGAGTTACAAAGTGAAGTCATTGGTGATAACAACAGTCAAATCGTAAAGTGAACGTGTTGGGAATTACATTTAAGTAAAGTAAATTGTGAAAGTTGATGCTAGTGATTGTAAATAGTAAAGTGCATTATAATTGAATTGTGAGTTACTGAGTACATAAAGGACATTAGATAAAATTTTTATAACGAAAGAAACTGCAAATTAAGTTAGCGAGTTTTTATTTAACAATCCAGAGATCGTACCCGTAGGATTCAGAAAATCATCGAGCTTAATTCAGCAAAATCATAACAATATATATAACACATTGAAGCCAGATTTTTCTCTACCCGATTCTTTGATCTTATTCTACTGCCACCGTCAGGTAATGCATAGAATACTTTCAAAGCTGGAATATTTTCAGCTATCAAAACAACATAACCTAGTCAGCAGTTTCAGTGTACATGGCACACAAACATCGTTACATATTGACACATACAAATTTTGGCCTTCATTTCTATAGTGTGTTTATGCCAAACACAGGATATATCGTCGAAGTTTCAGGTCTTCACGGAGAGCTGCAGAGGGTGTACGTTGATCCGTCAGCCATTCAGAGCAAAGAATGTATGTCGTTAGCATTGGACGGAAACGACAAGGAGCCACCTTATCTAAAGCCTCGATCAACATCGAACGGCTTGGAGAGTTTCGTCCCGTCTCTGATGGAGCTTTTGTTTTTACGGTATACGGCGTAGTTCGGCAGGTAATTCATCGGTTCCTGGCGTTTTGTTCTCTTCTTCTTCTCCTGAGGCAAAACGAAGATGGCTTTAGCAACGTCATTGCTTGTTCGTAACTTTTTGCACAAAACAAAGAAAAATAATGCCGCAGGCACCGTTTTCCAGTTTTCAAGAAGATGTGGTGAATAAGTAAATCTATTGTTGAAAAAATGCAAATTCACCTCATTTTTTGAACAAAGCTCGTATAGGCACAATACATACTAACATGCACATATATACATACATATTTTGTCATATATTATATACAATATATATATATATATATAAAGATAAAAACTTGTAGTTTCTCTTTTAAATTGTATTTATTTATTTGGCCCTTTTGTTTAAATATAAAAATTCAAAATATAAATGCACTCTTTATTAAAATCTTAAAATATTTTCTATTTCAAATTTATTATTGTTTTTGTTTTTCTGTTTATTTACATATGTATATAGTTCCTATCTACAGACGATTTTATGCTTTAGCACTATTTATTTGTATAAATATGTAAGTAAGAGTGTATGTCCATATGTACGATAAATATACATACACGTATGTATTATATATACAACAATTAGTCAGCTATAACGGACTATATTATTTTTTTTTCGCTAATCCTTATTCTCACAAAATTCTCTCATTTTCAAACGTTCATCTTCGAAAACATAATATTTAAAATCATTATCATTCTCCGGATAGAATTCTTGCGCTAAATCTTCAATTTCCGTATGACAGACGGCTTCGTTGAAGGCACCTAATGTTTGTAAAATTTTCACCATAGTATAACGCTTTTCACGCACCTCCTGTCGCTCCCTATCATATCGATGCAGATAGGATAATGGCATCTCCGCGGATAGGGGTACTCTTGAGATGGCCAAATGATCTGTTGTTTGCAGTTTCATATCCAAATTCGTATGCTTAACCATACCCAAAATCCAAGCGACCACATAGAAACATGCTGCATTCGCTGGGAAGGCTCGTATTATGGTCGAGTTGAGACCACGGAAGAAGAAATGTATGCCATCCTTATGATAACTCTTCACAGCACAATCCCAGGCGCCTTTGTAAACAGGCGTTGAACTCATACCATCGGCTTGCAGTAGCGTTTTGATCACATCCGTCGGATAGCAGACTAGCCAAGAAGCTATGCCAGCCAAGCCGCCGGCAGTTAGCGCATGTGGTACGCTGGGCTTTTCCTTTAATGACATGAACCATTCGTAGCTTACAAAGTAGGCGGCGAAACCTGGACAAAAACAGATAAGAGAAGATGTCAGTATATTTTTTACATAAAAGAGTTCACGCTAAGCTTGAAAGAATATATTGGAATCTACAGTAAATATACTTGTACAAATGTATATGCAGCAGCAATCGAGGGTTTAGCGGCGTTTACTACCTGGCGTATAGTTACGGTACCGAAACTATTAGGTTATGTGCTGAGGTTAAGTTGAACTGGTTGACGTTCGCATGCTTTTATCATACACAATACACCACTGAAGTGGTGGCTTTTGCCCTTTGCCCTTCAGGAATTGAAAATCTATCAGCTTATTCCTACTAAGTATGATCAAGCTGTGCCTACCGAGCGCCGTGCATTCACTTATTACAATATATGCTACAGTTTCAGCGAACTTCTTCATCAGCTCGATCTGATAGGAAGGCTTAGAACGGCTGGCAAGTCCATAGTGTCGTTCTGTTCAGAAAAACTATATCGGTAGCCGTTCATCGACTATCTTATTGCCATCTATGCTGTCATGCAGTGGTACACATCAAGAGTAAACTTCTCGTTTCCCTCACAACCTCTTGATCGGCTCCTGACGTAGCGCAACCTTTATCGATATAAGAAAGTAAGGTCTTAATACCCGTCTGGATTTCTACATAAATATGAATTCTCTTTTCTGTGTGCCAGTTCTTTCCTTTCCACTTTTTTTTTAGCTAATATATCGACCTTGAAGATACTGCAGCTGTTTTACAGCCAAAATGGCCTCCTTATCTGAAGTTAGTGGCTGCTCATTTTAGAACTTGAGCTCTTCGCCACTACCGTATGCCTCCTTTAGAGCTGCCGGAACTTTTATTAAGAAAACGCTATTCTACTGTGCCAGTCAGTTCTGGTTCCCAGCTAATTTGAAGTGTTAAGCTTCGTTGAAGTTATGAATGACCTGGTTTTAGCCGCTTGGTTTCCCAATATATTCAAACTGAACTGCTGGAGATGATGTTGTTCTAAGTGTTGCGGTGTTGTTGAGTCTAAAGACACTGCATCCGTTCTAGATATGTTGTACAGCCTTTCACTCAGCCCGATCGAAAAGAAGGTAATACAAACGCAACGAAACTCCAATGCGGGAAGGTTGGTAAAAAGCTCCAGGTCTTCCTTAAAGACGTTATTGAAACTGGAGCGTCGAAAAAGGAGCGAGCAGACATCGGTAACTGCGGATTGAATTGTTGCCTCGATAGCTTTAGAGGAACGTTTTTGGTGGGGCTATATGGAAACTGGTTGCAGTTCAAGAGCTTCACGGGAAAAGTTGGCGCATGCTTGTGAATTATGCGTGGAGACTGAATCTCCTACTTCTAATAAATGGATGGATGTTTATTCTTAGCTACCTCTGAATGAATTTCCATAGGAAGCTTTTATATTTCACGTCAGAAATTCGCTGTCGAGGGGCGACCGTAGAATGATTTATTTATTTCATGATTAATTTCCACAAAACTTAGAACGTCGGTACGGTCAGTATTCGAAGTCATGACCCTACAAATGTTGGTAAACACAGCTAAACACACGGCTATTGCGACTACATATAGAATTAAGTAAAAATTCTTTAATTACCTGGTACATCTCTGAGCGCTGTCATTCCCAAACCACGAAAACCACCACGGAAACCCTCCGTCTGTATTATGTGTCTTAAACATTTGATGGGACTTGTAAATTGTGGCGCTTTTGGATCCAGATGTTGTATTTGCATACGCGTCTTTGCCAATTCCATTGGTGAACACACAATACTCTGCGCAAACCCCGACACGCAACCAGCAATGAAATGTGAATATAATGAATTTGACTCGACCATTCGCCGCTGAACATTTCCATAAATGCCAAAAACTATGGCATTAACAGCGCTGATACCCATCAATGGGCTGGACATGCCACGGTATAAACTTTTCACACCATCCGTACGAATTAGTGATGATATACAATGGAAAGTACCACGATATATGGGCTTCTTCACATCCTGCATTTGTAGGTGAACTTTAACTGTGTCTAGTGGATGACCGACTAGAACGCCCGCACAACCTGTGAAGGAAAGTTGAGAGGAAACAATGACATTATCGACATAAAGTGCTAATATAAAGAGTAAATCCTAATTACGTGTGATAGTATGTCGTTGTCTTGAAAGTCGTCTAACGTGCCAAAAAACCAAAGACATTTGAGTTTTGCACTCAGTTACAGAAAGAAAGCGTTAGGAAGTAATTAGCTGATATTAAAACACTGTGCATTGTAGCTAAGTCGTAATAAGTAGGCCTGAAAGCTGCCAGTCGCTTCGATGGAGAGTTCGATACTCTCTATACTCTACTTTTGCGTGGAGACTTGAATGCTGATCACCTCTGAAAGCTTAGAGGGAAGCTCGACTGCCAGTCTCTTCGATGCAGAGTTCGATACTCTCTATGCTCTGCTTTTGCTTGGAGACTTGACTGCTGATCACCTCTGAAAGCTTAGAGGGAAGCTCGACTGGTACGTATGCTTTTTTTTTAATCAGGCGGATAAAAGTATGTAGTATTCCGACGGACTCCGTACAGCTTTATTATTGGAAACCGTTGCACAGAACGGGCTAACGATAGACCCCAAGCGCCACTAACAGCGAGTATGTCAACACCTTTCTTAACACTCTTTGCGTGAAAGGCCTTATCGGAATGCAACCACAGAGCAGACGAAGAGTTGCTACGCAATATCTGCGGTATAATCAAATTGTTCTGCCTGCAATGAGTCCACCTCTTTGTGTGCCCACTAAAACCACTAAAACCTGTGAAAACAGCTCATGTTTTGGGCTTCTCCTTGGATGATCTCAACGCCAAGGAAGCTCTGCCGCTGGATATGTACATATTTCCCTTATCGCAATAGAAATATAGCAATTTCTGCGACCTTCTGAAGAATGGACTTTTTACTTCGGTGATAAATTTGTTGAAAGCGGTTCTTCCGTTAAAACTTCGGTGGCACAAGAAAACTGAACTACACGAGACATACGGAAGAGGGTGATAGTGGAGAGTAGAAGATCTGGCTTCCCTTGGTGTCTATAATCGACACGACATAGTAAAAAGGATAAACGTTTGGTGAGTTTGCATTATTAATAAGGATGTCGACATTACTGTAGTCAAGTTAGGTAAAAGACAGTGGCTTGGTCATGCATGTAAACACTTCAGCTTTGAAAGTTTTACATGATTTATTCGCTTGTGGAAGCAGTTGAAGAGGAAACCCTAACACCACCCAAATATGAAATAAGATAAGGTAGAGAGATCTGCCTACCCTAGAAGTGTCCATTTGGATCGAAATGGTAGAAGATATTATTACGTCAGTTGGAAAAGAAGGAGTCCGGGAAACAGTTTTTTAATAAATAAATATTTTCAACTTACCACCGACACATCCCGCAATGAAATCGAATGCCATCACGACTAATTGTGCGCTATTCACAGGAACTATATGCTGTAATCGTAAGCTCTCTGAAGGAGTCTGAAAATTGTTTATAATGTAAAAAGAGCGAAAAAGTGATTTAATATCAATTTTATTAAAATTAAAATGAAAATAAAATAATTTGTAGTAGACTAATATTTTATATTAAATAAATTAATTTTTATACTAAATGCATTAAATAAAATTACAGTACATCACATTTAAAAGTTCATAAAGGTTATAATACTCAGATGCCTGTGTAGATATATACGTAATTCTTAAATTACAGTTAAAGCTCTTTAAGTGAACCCGTTGGGGTATTTTGTCAGCTGAGGTAGATAGAAACGGTGAATGTCTGACGACGCAATTAGACCTTTAGGAGACCCAATGTGACACCGCCGGTATTAAAAACCCTTAAAATTACCATGTCCTCTGTGAAGCACCCTGTGCTCTTTATAAAGTTGTTTAATCTTTTTGTTAACTGAAAAACCTCCGAGAGTATCGTCAAGAAAATCGAAACCGATAGTTTCCTACATTTTCCTATACAGAGCCTTGAACCAGTAAATGAGTTGTGCTACAGTCTTTTCATTCTTTACTTTTTGGCTGATTCTGCAGTAATCGTTGTATGGTATCAACTGTCCGCTCTCCTTACAGTCTCCTTAAGTCATTCTTTGTAAACTTCAATAGTCGACATGTGCGGCCCATATTTAATCTTACCAAATTGGTTAGACTCAGCTGAATCTAATTATAAGGTAGGGTCTGAATCTGGTTGGTACTGCCAGAAATATCTATGCAAACATATCAAGACATTCTTATACTATCTTTGAGGGGAAACTTAGGGATTTTATATATTTAGTCGGCGCTTTGTAACTGCTGAAGCGATTGTCGGCGAGGCTCTTCCTCCACTTTGTGGTAAGAGTTTTTATGTTTTTTCAACAAATGAAGTTTATACTAAGCCGCTTCCGAACGGCCGATGGTTTTCTATGAGGAGCTTTATTTCATATCAGAAATACACTCCGAGGGCTTGACAATCGCTGTCGTGAGGCGATTGCAAATTAAAATTGTGTGTTGCTCGAAGCAGGACTATAATCTTAACCTTCCGAATGATAGTACGCAATGCCAAACACTCCTCTATTGCCGCCGTTGATATGTAAAGAAAAGAGTTAAGACTAATTGGTATATTAATTATCCTGAATTTTCTCCTTTGAAAGTGGTTACGAAGGCCCTGCCGCTGCGGACTTGACCGGTAGTGTGGTTGCGGCCACCACGAAACTCTCGAAACCAATATTTGACGGTGTAATCTGACGGAGCATTAGCCACATAATATATATTCCACTTTTCTTTGGTTTTCTTTGCCGTTTTGCCTCACAAAAAATTTCATATTTTATGAGTGAACGAAAATCGCTTTCAATATGAAGCCAAGCACGTCAACAACAATCAGCCGTCAAAATAAAACTAAGGGCAGTATAGTACGTCACTATAACCTCTTTTGCAGTAGCAGCGCATTCTGGCGGTCAATGAGGTGAATTTTCAACCCACCTAGTACTTCGCTCAAGAACTCCGCACTGGATAGCGTGCAGTTATAAACTGGCTTCTGAAGATAACCAGTGTTATGCCCAGACTTTGGTATAATTTTGCTACGTTAAATTGCCTCTTGCATTCTTTTTGTGATATTTTAAGTTTAGGAGACCTCCATTGGGAACTAAGGCTTCCTCTCTTACGGCTTAGAGAACAAGCCACATAAAATACTTGTCGAAAATATTCGATAAACCGTTTAATGAAATTGTTTAGATCCTCCCTGTTGTTGTTGTTGTTGTAACCCGAATTGGTTTTTGGGGAATATTGCGGGAGTGACAGTCCCTAACCGGATAAAAATCCAGGTCGTCCGGTATAAAGACCCAACTGTCGTGGTAACTATTGGATTTTAGTCGCCTCTTACGACAGACATGCCTTACCACGGGTAAATTCTTGAGCCCCTAACCCGCAGGGGTCTTAGATCCTCCCTGCTTTAGGCCAGTGCGGTTTCCTATGATTTCTAAGTTTATTGGCACTACATATATCTCCTTCCAGTATACATTCCATACAGCGGTGATCGGATAAAGAGTGCGACTCAAGAAAGTTTTTCAATATCTAATATATAAATGATCTTTCTATATTACCATGTTTGTCAGCTTAAATGCACGGTGATTTTTTTCAAATCCGTTAAAAAGAAAAAAATTACTGTTAAACCAATTCGCATTACAAAAAGTGGACATTTTACGTTAGCACTTAAGCGGGGCTTACTGTAAGTCTATTATCATTTCTGATCACGTTTTCGAAGTAGATTCGAATAAAAACTAATTACGCTTAGTTTTCCTCATATTTATTAATTAAACACCACACACATATGTATATACATATGCTCACATTATTGAACAATGATTATTAATCTTTATCAAGCTAAGAAAATTGAAACTTTATTGTTTTTTCCGAAACTTAATTTACACGAGCGAGAATTTCATATATATATACATATATGTAGGTATGTACAAACATATTTCTAAGTAAACATATGCTGATTATACAGATCATAGGTAACTCCCCATTTAAATCAACATATGTATACCGTTATGTTATGGCATCTAAATAAGTATTTCGCAAATGTTATACGAATAACTCTTGAGGTACAGCAAAAAAAAAAAATGAAAATTCAGCACTTATTTTTCGAAGAAATAAGACATATTTTGGAAACAACGTCAGTGAAATGCCATTAATTTAACGTCAAGTGGTCAGAGCAAGGCTTGCCCCGAATCCACAAGAGTCGTATCGTCGCCGAGCTCTGCATTTTGGTATCAACTGCGAGCAATGATTTGCATTCGTTCTCGCACGAAGAATATGTTGATAATCCGTCCATGTGGCTTGAAGTTTGGTGGAACAGTGGAGGACACTGAACCAAGAATTTCGGAAAATTTCGTTGATGATTGACGAGGCTCTTCTCACATCGTCTGGTGGCGTTTATAATCGAAACTGCCACATTTGGGCACTGAAAATCTTCTCGACATCCGTGAAACGCCTTTGCATGACCAAAAAGTGGAGCCTTGGGAGACAAAATTTTTCCCAACAATCCGATTTCGGTAATTTTCATATATGCGCAGAATACCAAAATTCACCCTCTTAGATGCGTGTTTGACAAATTTACGACCCAAGTTCTCAAATCTGAATAATCCGTCGCATACTCGTATATCACTTTTGACAATGTCAGAAATACACTCGGAAGGCTTGGAATTCCCTGCCGAGCAGCGACCACAATTAAAAAAAATTAATTTTCTATTATTTTAGATGATCGTCGAACCAGAACTAGAACACTGACCTGACCACGGTTGAAAAGTGTGCGGTGATTTATAATTCTTGGGCATGTTGTTCAGAAAACAATATGTGTGTATTATATTTCCTTGTCTTTGGGTATAGACCAAGCATATTAAAGTACCAAAAAGTGTTGACCTCCGAGTTAGCTTAAAGTTACTGGTAGCACATACTAGTGTTGGACGCCCCTGAGAGACTTGCCAGGTTAACACTCTTTTGACTGGATGTGACTGTGGGGGAGATAGAATCGTTGCACAGACCGATGATATTACCATTGCTTAAGTTTCCACAAATTCTATGCGACTTGATGCAGGGGACTCTTCGCAGGGTACTTAAATAGTCTAATCGTTGTAAACTATGTGTGACCTCTAATCAGATAGAACTCGGCCTATTCACTAAGAGTATAAAGTACCGACAATAAACCAAGCACTTCAATGGGGTTAAACTAAGACGCGGAACCAATGAATGGAAAATTTCTGGGGATAGTTCTGGACAAGCTGCTGAACTGGAAAATCCAAATAGCAAGTAGATATGAGAAGACCTCCATCGCCATTTACACATGTAAACGAGCCTCTGTGATTTCTTAATTTCTGTCACTGCATCTTTACATCTATAGTGACATCAATTACTTTTGTAAAGTTCAAACGAGTATTTGTATGGTGGACTGCGTAAAACAGGGCGTCGTGCGATAACCTTCTAAATATAATTCAAAGATCAGGATGCTTAGCATAGATGGTGCCCTGAAGACCACGTCAAATGAAGCCTTAAACATGATTGTCGATATTTTACCATTAAACTTAATGGGTTTTCCGACTGCAACCCCAGCCATCGTACGCCTAAGGGCATCAATAACTTGGTCCCTCGACAATTTCCGAAATATACAATTTAATACCGATTGGCACAGACCGCTGCTGCTTAACTTTTATTAGCACCTATGAATAACGCGTTCCTCTAAAAGTGAAGAATGGTGCAAAAACTTCGATACACAAATCGACAGTGTTGAGTTACATTATAATGGATCGAGACTTGATGGAAAAGTTAGAGGAGCTAACTTCTCAAGTGACCCACCTTTTGAGCGCTCTTTGAGGCTACATGATGGATTCTTGGCCCATATGGACCCCATATGGATGCCAGGCTAGGTACGAAAAAGTAGATCCTTCACGACAATTAACGCATTGGTATGTCTAATCCGAGAATTTTCTTATGAAGAGGCCAAACTACGATGAAACCACATTGCTATCCAAAGACTTTTGATATGAGCAGGCCAAAATAAGATTGAACCACACTGCTATTTGCCGAATTTCTAGACAAACTTGGCAGAAATAGATCGGAAGAGTTCACGTGAAATAGTACATCTCAAAAGTGATGACATCTTTAAGGTTGTAGGAGTCTTTACAGCTCACTGCTTGATAGGTCCGCATGCGGCGAAGCTTTGAGTTCCCTTTAGCAGATGCAGTAAAAGCTGTAAGACTTCTCATCTCCTATGTGACTGCGTCACGTTAGCCAGAGCTCAGTTGCGATATCTAGGAGGTGCTTTCATTGATGATATGTATAAGATAGTTGATGCCTGCTAATGAAATTTATAAAGATATCGAAGCAGATAGTAGTGAAGCTTGGTAATCGGGTAAACACCGTCAAAAAAGGTGGTCTTCTATGACAAACTGACAGAAATTTTCGGTTTCAAAAAAACCCAAAATGAGTTCTCATTTTTCTTGTGA